TTCTCAAGTTGTTGGCGTGAAAATAAAAAACTCTATTAAAATAATTGTTAAATTTTAATGACAGATAATTAAAATAAAATTGTTATATTATATATAATTGTTTAAAAAATTAATTAAGCGATGAAATCAAAAATAAAATAACATATGGATGATTAATAGATAAATCACTTTTTTTTTATGTTTGATTTAGCTAAGTGAACCAACTTTGAAGCCAAATAAAGAGGGAAATAACAGCCAATGCATTAAAGACAAAAATTAAAAGATAAGATTAGTCTCTGCTTCTTACGCTCTCTCTCGTTTCTGTATTAAGATGGCTCTGCTGCTCTCGCTGTCTCTGGTTTCTTCGTTTCCGTATCAAAGCATATGTTTGAATGCTATCCCATTCTTTTGCTTTCTAAACAAAGTTTTCCAATAACACAACATGACTGATGACAGGAACAACCAAATACGGAGGAGACTCTGTGATTACTGTGATCAATCCACAGCTCTTTTATACTGCAGAGCTGACTCCGCCAAGCTCTGTTTCTCATGCGATAGGGAAGTTCACTCAGCTAACCAACTATTTACCAAGCACTCTCGCTCACAGCTCTGTGACGCCTGCCACCAGTCACCTGCTTCCGTCTTCTGCGAAACGGAGCAGTCTGTTTTCTGTTCTAACTGTGATTGGGAAAACCACAAGCTACCCTCCTCTTCCTTGCTTAATAGGAGGCCTATAGAAGTGTTCACTGGGTGCCCTTCGGTGAGTGAGCTACTGAGCTTTATTGGGATCGAGGATGTGGGTGATAAAGCTCCCTTTTCGAGTGAAGGCAAAGTTGGTTGTGGAGATGGCGCTGAAGATTGTGATGGGTTGCTGGATTTGTCTAATTGGGAATCTCCTGTGATTTCTGGTTGTGATGGTTTGATTATTCCGAGTGATTTTGATCATGGGTTTAAGCCTACTGATGTCCCTCCTCTACCAAAGGTTTAGTATCAAGTTGACCCTTTCAGTCTTTTAAATTTCTTATGTGTCTATGTTGGTTGGTTCCTTAGAAAATATGAGAAAAAAGTTAAAAGATTGCCCTTTTTATGAGTTCTATGCTAGTGAAGAGTTAACAGTTTGTTTATATATTCACTGAAATTTGGAATTTTGGGATTTTTATTAAATTTTAGTTTGTCCTTTTGTTTTAGAAATCATGTCATGTCAGTGCGGTTTGGCTGCCTTTGGTTTGGATGTGGTTGTTGAAGAATTACAGTGAAAAAGAATGAATTTTGTACCATTAACTGCAAATTTCTTAGCTTTTTGTGCATTGTGTTATCTATATATAACTGTTGTGAATGAACTGTTTTTGAATCAAAATCGTAATTCATCTTGTGTACAACATAAGGAAGAGATATTTCATCAGCTACATGAACTGGCAAAGTCAGAACCCAATCTCAGCTTTGAAAAGGCTAATGTTGAAGCCATTATTGGATTCCAGTCACTGATACCTAATGCTGATAATTTTCACCTGGGAGGTGTGCAGATAAGTTGCAGAAATGATGAAGATCCTATTCCATTTCCTGCCTATGAGGTCTGCATTTTCTTTTCCTCTAGTGTTCACCGAGATATAGAACATTCTCAATATAGAGCAGAGATTATTATTTTAATTCGAGATCAACAGATGATTGTGTCACAGTGTCATTTTTGGCTTTGAGATACAAATGCAATAGCTCCGGAAATCGAAAGTGCATACTAGCCATGGAAAAAAGTAATGTTTTTCGCTGTGGGGACGATACCCTGAACAATTGGCATTGGCATTTTATTGAAGAAAATTCATTCTTAAGGATGCAAAGCTGATGTTTTTCCAAGCAATATATTCTAGCATCTGCAGCACGTTTAAGTCTTGTTTATTGACCTTTGTTGCAATTTAGGAGGAGATTAAGTTGACTATTAGATCAGCAAAGAAGCAGATTTATTGTTCCTTCTTTCTTTTTATGCCTGGAGAAGCAAAACCATTGTTGATTAAGTTAATGGATTTTTTTTTTTTTAAAAAAATCCATCATATACTGATGGTGGATTACAGCACTTAATCTTCACTGTCTCTCAACCAAGACACTGGTGTAGTGACAAAAAGACTTTTGTTTTATTCAAGTCTTGATTGACACAATGTCTGATAAAAATATCTTCATTGGCATGTTTAAATATAAGCTCCTTCTTGATTAACTCGTTTACTAAAAATAGAGCTGTTTTCTCTCCATGCAGTCAAGTCCACTACAGTGCTTCAAAGTTAATAATGTAGAGCTTGCCAATCAAGTATTTCCACCTTTTTCACAGTTAAGAGGCCATGCAGAGGAAAATGTCGTGGTTCCTAATAAACATGTGGATTCGGCCCTGAAGACCGACAGCAACATCAAATTGTTGCAGGAACCACATTAGGACCTCCAATGGTTGATGTCCATGAGTTAAATAGCCAGGAGAGGGACTCTGCAATCTCACGTTACAAGGAGAAAAAGAAAACAACGAGGTATTTGCTTTCACTTTGTTCCATGAGTTAAATAGCCAGGAGAGGGACTCTGCAATCTCACGTTACAAGGAGAAAAAGAAAACAAGGAGGTATTTGCTTTCACTTTGTTCCTTACTATCCAAGTTTTTTCATATGTATGGAAAATCTTCGAAGAATTGTTTTCTGTGACACATGAAAAATATGACAAGCAAATAAGGTATGAATCAAGAGAGGCTCGAGCTGAAAGCAGGACAAGAATTAGAGGGCGTTTTGCAAAGGTTCAGCGTTGAAAATCATACTGGTAAAGTTGGGTCATTTCTTGTTAGTGGAGAATGTTTTCCCCTTTGCATTCCTTCTTCCTTAGAATCTAAAAAGCTTTAGGGTATATCAGGTTCCTCACTCGTAAAATATGAGTTTTGCAAATAGTATTAGTGTTCAGCCTTTATACCTGTTATATTGAATTGTAAAACCTATATATAGTACTTGAAGTTGATATATTGTTTGTTTCTTTATGCCATCTTTTGGCTTTGTGCAGCAAATCAAATAAAATAATTAAAAGCCGATGCCTTTGATGCATGAAGAATTGAAAGATGATGAGAATAAATAGAAATGGACGGCTATGCAAAAAGCAATATTAACGCAGTATTATGTCGTTTTCCATGTCCTTTTCTCTCTCTCGTTTTCAATTAGACTAATAAAATCAAAGAAAATAAATGAACGATTAAAAACCGATAATCAAACCCTTTCTATATGCTCAATTTATCTTTTTAATAATAAAACTATTATTAAAATATTAAAAAATACATCAACATCACTTAATTTTTAAGTCACCGTATATAAATTGGCAAATTGACCTAACTGACATCGTTTGACCGAATATCTCCCTTTCTGACACCGTTTGACCTATATTTCCCGAAGTAGCACTCTTTCTGTTGAGGTGGCGAAAGGCGCATCCCCGGGGAGGCGCATCCCCGGGGACGCGCTTTACCCGAGTTAATGCTGAGTTCGCTGCCACGTGTGGAAGGCGCATCCCCGGGGACGCGCCTTTACTGGGTATTACTGATTCGGATACCATGTTGGTATTTTTTTTTAATAATAAATATTTTATTTTTATTATTATTATAAATTAGTAATATATTATGTAAAGTGTTTCGATTATAATGTAAGAATTATTAAATGTATTTTTTTTAATGTGTGTTAAAGGTGGAGTGAATTATCCACATTAATCTGATAGAACAATAGATGAAAATCAATTTTGATTTTATTGTAGTTATAGTAAAAATGTATGAAATTATAATATTACACATATGGTTATATTATTATTTTTGGTTGTGATTATCGATCTATTAAGTTTATCAGTTAATTATTTAAATGTTATCAATCTAGTAACCTCTTATCAATATTTAACGAAAATATTGATGCATAATTTAATAAAATCAGTATAATTACACATTTAATTATATTGTAGATATGGTCAGCATCCAATCGCAGCAGCATTTCACTTTCCATTATAACTGTAGACAAAAAAAAATAATTAGCACAAAAAATAATTAATTAATAAATTTTAAAAAATAATTATTATATAAATGTTATTTTAATAAAAAATAATATTTATATAATTATATTAATATAAAATATAATAATTATTTTAAAAAATAATAACTTAAAAATAAATTTATTACCACTAATAAGAAATTTAAAACTCAAATATTTGGAGAATTTGAGTTATATAAGAGGAGAAGATGATTTTGGTGTGAAGAATGAGGGTGGTTGAGGGGGGTTTATATAGGGGAGGAGGAGGGGTAGTTGGAGAAAAATTGGATGGGCATTTAAGACATTTAATGAAAGGCGCGTCCCCGGGGATGCGCCTTTCACACGTGGTAACCGAATCAGCAATATCCCGTGAAGGCGCGTCCCTGGGGATGCGCCTTCCACACGGGGCAGCCAACTCAGCATTAACCCGGGTAAAGCGCGTCCCCAGGGATGCGTCTTTCGCAACCTCAGCCGAAAGGGTGCCACTTAGAAAAATATAGGTCAAACGGTACCAGAAAAGAAGATATTCGATTAAACGGTATCAATTAGGTCAAACCGTCATATAAATTCTAGTTACTCAAACTTTGATGATAAATATATTTAATAATGGGGGATAGCTTTTAACAGAACTGAACCCATCATCATAAGTATTGATGTTCTGTCCTGACTGTAACATCAGAGAATTTGACCCTACAATTATGAAGATGATGATAATGATGATGACCGCAGTTGAAAATATATAAGAAAAAGGAACATCAGAGATGAAATCAACAGTCAGCAGCAACAATCATTAGTAACAGAGAATATTAATGATGATCCATCATAAATACCACAAACGTGTGCCCACTATCATCTATTCCTCTCACTAAATTGTATTTATTTTCTTTTTGAATGATTTTCCCATCTCAGTTTCTGAGATAAGATCTTCTTTTTCAATTATATTTTATTATTATATGATATTTCAATCCACAAAGATTCTACAAATGACATAAACATACAACAATCTTCATGGTAACAATGAGGATGCAAATAAAAACTCTGGTTAATGATATACAACTGCAGTTTCATCTCTTCGTCGATCATTACTCTGTTTTCCCACGACTAAAACAAATGGTAAGGAGCTTCAATCAGGTCTGCAATTAGATTAATCATTAAACATAAGGGGAATGTACCTCATACATTGACTCTTTCTGAGCTTTAACATATCTGCATATTTCACGTGGGGTCTGACCTCTCTCAAGAAAGCTCCAATCCAGAATCTTTATCCATCGTCCAAACAAACGGAGGCATGTCGAGCCTTGGCCCGGCAACTGATCTATATATGTAGAGCTTAGCGACTGGTTGGCTTTCTGGTCTTGAACCTGGAGCTCCCTTCTCATCCATAACTTCGACATTCAACCAGCGCATCTTCTGGCCTAGCATCTTACACGCTCCGAGACTCACCAAGCAAGAAGACATCCAAAGGGATCGCATTCTCTCCAGCTTCGCAGCATTCGCCAGTAGAGCCTTGTCTCCGAAGGGGCAATCCATGATCTCTAGTTTCTGAAGACTATCGCACCCAGAAAGCACATGATGGAGTCCCATATCAGTTTCTCCTGCAAAAGCCAGAGACAGCATCTCTAGCTTTTTTGCGTATCTCCCAATAAATTCAAACACACGATCTGTGAGGAGACCGGAGAGGGAAAGGCGTCTCAGATCCTTGCAGTGCTCAACAATGGCTCCAAAACCAACATCGAGTGGCTTAAGGGTCTGGTAATCAGCCATTTTTGGATCAAGAATACAAAGACGAAAACATATAAAGTTGGGATGGTTCTGGGCGATGGTGACTAGAGCTGCATTAGACATTTGGCGGCAGAAGTACAAAACCGACTGTAGCTTAGGACAACCCAAAGAAACAACAACAAGGCCTCGTTCCGTCAAGGATACATTTGGCTCTGCACCAAATGGGTCAGATGGAAACACCCGTAACTCCTGTAGGTCCTTGCAACTAGATGCGAGTGCTTCAAGACCATTATCTTCGATGTAATCAAGTACCTGTGAGCATAACCTTCCTAACTTAAAAATGTAACATACACTACCAAAGAACCAATTGAATGACGGAACACAGTTTAAATGGGATCCTTAGACCACTTAATGTCCACAATCTGGAATTATCTAATGGTAGTGCTAATCCTTTTAAGATAACAAGCCAAATTCACAATGCTACCATAATGAACTTACCAGCAAGCGTTGCAAACTAGGACAGTGGCTTACAAGCTTGGTAAGATCGGGATTCCGTATAGTAGCATAGCTTAAGTTCAATGATGTTAATTCAGAGCACACAGAGTAAATAGCTGGAATGTAAGCTGGGACCGCATCCCAAAACCCGGACAAGCTCTTTAGCTCCTTGCAACTAGAAAAAGCTTCGGCCAGGTTCGAGAACACATCAGGTCGTATCTCAGCCGCATAGATGCCAGTGCCGAATTCAACCAGCTGCGGAGCACAGCGTAAAATGTTGGCAATCTTATCAAGGGGCACTTCACGGTTGAGCAAAAGACTCCTGAAGTTGGGACATCTACCCACTAGGCGCTCCAAGGCCGATAAACTAACTTCATCCGATCCTAAGCAAGAAATGTTAAGCGCCACAAGGGATGTGTACGTCTCAGGAAAATGATTGAGCCAATGTCCAGCCAAATCATCCACTTCACTGTCTCTCAAGTCCAGCTCTCTCAGATTCCTGCATCCAAAAACCAGACTCATTCATATAAACAACATGCTGAACGTCGAAAAATCGCCAAATCTAACACTATATAGTTCGACTAAGCAGGTGAAATCAAGAAGACATTGGTTGTTGAACAAAATTAAAAGCTCACCACCGTGATTGAAAACAATCACAGCACCGGGCTAATGTTTCTTTTTTACAATTTAACTTACAAGAGCATATTCTTTGCGCATCTGATTTCTCAGCCAACCATAACTATCAGGATACAAGAAAATAAAGTGCAAGTCTAAGAATAAAAAAAAATCCCAAGACAGAATTAAAATAACATCATTCATAGCTTTCCAACCAACAAAGAAGAATCAAATAAAACGGAAAAAACAGAATCTTCAGTACCAACATGGAAAATTATTGCCGCCATCACTAATTTACAAAAAAGATATTCATCATTTCCAAAAGCAAAAACAAGCCCACGTTTACCAGAAAGTAACCATCCAAATATCTGAAAACATCTCCCAAAAAGAAGAATCTGCAGATAACGAACAAAACAAGGGAACCCGCGGGGGGGGGGGGGGGGGGGGCGGAAGAAGCACAAATTCTCATAAAGACCCAAAATTCAATTCTTTATCTCACTACAAAAACAAAGAAAAAAAAAACCAAAGAGAAGAAGTGAAAAGAGTTCAACCAAACTCACTTGCAGCTACCAGCAATGGCGGCGAGTCCATCGGTTGAGAACCCTTCACACGAAAAAAGCACCAGCACTTGCAAATTCTTAAACGACTCAGCAACAAGCTCCAAGCTTTCGTCCGTGATGACCATTCGTTTAAGCCGAATCTCTTCGAGCCAAGGATAGGCTTCGGCCATTTCAACGATCCATGGAAGGACGTACCCGCCCCAGCCATCGGGTACCAGATTGAAATCCGCAAAGTGCGGTTTCCCTTTCAGCTCAATGGATCTGATTTCCGGGAACCGTCTGATCACCATACGAGGACTAATAGCGTAGCAGTTCCCAACAAATACCTTCCTCCGACACCACCGTTCGATCTCGTACCACGATTTACACACCACCGATACCGAGTTCCGGTCTTTGTCTGATTGTATGAACGAGCATACGTGCTCCAGTACCTCGTCGGGGAATGGGTACGCCGTTTTCTTCTGCATTATTAACAATCGGATAAAAGAAAAAGAAAAAGGAAGACACAAGCACGCAAGGATAAATGATGTTTTTTTATTAAAAGAAAGAAAATTCTCTTTTTTTGCCTATGGGTTTGACCGATACTTTGGGTTTTGTTAAGCTTTAGGGTTCATTTTCAGATCTGAAGCGCCATTAATGAAGCTTATACAGGTAGCAGAGATTAAGGAAATATAAAAGAGAGACAGTGAAGTGAATTGACAGAAACAGGGGAGGATAAGGATTTTTATTTACGTGTGGAGACGAAGGGTTATATTTTAACCATGGTTAAATATCGGTCAACTTCTTCCAGCACTATGTGCTTTTTCTTATTGAAGATTCAATGTCAATCAACAACAATGAATATATTAATAATTTTAAAATTAAAATTAAAATCATTCCTCATAAAACATAAATTAGAAGAAAAAAAAGTAATTAACTAAAATTTCGAATATATATTATTCATAATTATTTTAAATTTTTCAAATAATAATAATATGTCATTTATTATTATTTTAACTCTCTATAAATTAACAAAAATTTGTTAAAAAGTTCTCTTACGTAAACTAAACTATTGGATCTTAAATATGTCACGTGAAGGAAAATAGGAGGGGTTTCATTTTATGTGTGTGCAGGTATACTGATAGACGTTAAGATAGAGCCACGTGCGGGTACAGATGAGGCCGTATGATGGACGGTTGGAAGGGAAGATCTTATCCGTCGGCAGCGAACCGGAGCCGCAGAAAACGGAGTGTATGTAAGAAGTGCAAGGCAGATGTCGGACGATATTTGATGGGAGAGAAGGGAATGTTAAAGTGTGACGATATGTAGGGAAGAGTGGTGGTGCATGACCCCATGATTCGCGTAGCACGGTGTAATCCGAGGGATCTAGGGACCACAATGATTTTTTCTCCAAAATTTATCTGTATTACTATTATTTTATCCAATACGTACATCATACAACCATACTTATCATTTATACATAAAAAAACAAAAGTATTTTATTATTTAATATAGGTTATATATAAAAATAAGTGTTCAGATTATACAATTTTTCATATTTAGATGTCTAAATTATTTTTTGATCAATTTTGATACTAACGTTATAATTACTATTTGAAGTGTATCAATCGTAACGGCGTTAGAAAATCATGTTAGGTGACACATGTTGTATTATGATAATTTTAAAGTTTTTATTTTTTTAAAAAAAATTATTTAACGAGATTTTTTAACGGTCGTTATAGTCGGAGCACTTAAAATGGTAACGTTTGTAACGTTAGGTATCTATTTTGGTCGAAAAAATAGTTTAAACACCTAAATGGAAAGAACGATATAGTTGTTTTTACATTAAGCCTTTAATATAATATATAATAGTATTTTTTATAGATATCTTAAATATAAAAGAGCGCGATAAATTATTCATATTTGGAGTTGGATTGGATTGGATGAAAAAATTGCTCTAAATTTGGTTTTATTTCAATTTCAACTCTTTCATTCATAAAATTTATCATGATCCATCTTGAATCTAAATTAAAATTTTGATTTTATGCACGAATCAACTTACTTAAATGATTAAAAAAATTATTATTATTCCAAAAGGTCACGGGTTTAAGCAACAAATATTACTTTATAATCAATCACCTTTAGTTAAATAGAAAAAACTAATTTTATAAAATTGAATTGAATCTCATCACATTCAAATATTGTAATTATTTTTAATCTTAACTAATACATATATTAATATTATCTATTCAAAGCAAACGATAATTTAAAGATATGGAAAAAATGTATAAGCGTATTTTAAAATTTTAATTAAGCTCTGGCTAAAAAATTAATCTAGTTCTTCTAAACATTTATACTGAATTTTAATTTTGAAACGCGTTTTTTTAATAAAGTTTTAAAACATATTTTTAATTAAATATTCCAAAGTTTTAAATATTTCTAATTAAATTTGTCTTATTAATACATCCCACCGTCTCTACCAAAGGCCGAATAACATGGATAATATATAATATATACTAATTCATGAATGGAAATTGTAGATGCATGGACATAATGATATAATTATTATTCACTCGCAATCATTAGAATGATATATATATATATATGTGGCTGGCACGATCAATGAGATTACTTTTTATTCCTCTATTTAGTGAAATTAAAAAGATTGAATAAAATAATACTACTTTATTATAAAATAATATTACGGAGAATTCTCTTTTTGTTTTGGCATTTTCAAAGCCACTAATTTGCATGAACTACGACTAACCACCAAGCCAATCCACACTTTTGTTTGTTTGGTAAACATATTAATCCAATCTAAATATTTTTTTTACAAATAATTAAATTAATATTTTATTAAAATTGTTTATTCTATGTGTTTATTTGGAGAAAATATATTTTAAGAAACATATGAAGATTTCTCAGAAAAATTAGACATTTTATGATGTTTGGATATATTGTCCGATGGAAGATGTTTTCTGTTATTTAATTTTTAAAATTTCATTTTTTAATTTAAATAGTAATATTAAAATATTAAAATCTAACAATATATTTTAAAAATTTTAATAATAAAATATTATAATAATATTAAATATGTAAAATATTATTATTATTTATTAAAAGTTTAAAATATTACTGCTATAATAATTACTAAATATTGTTTATATCAATATACTTAGGATCAAATATGATTGATCGAGGATGGTACTCCAAAACGTCCTTCAAATTATGATTTCACGTTGTTAAATATTTACAAACTGTAGTAACATATTTGTCATTAAAAATAACATTTTAGTATTTCTATTAAAATCATAGATAATATTAATTATATTATTTTCATGGATTAATGTGGACTACATCCAAATTAGTTTTTCTTATAGTCGTTGTTTAAGTTTAACACTCCATTTCTTTCTTATCCCATTCCTCTTTTACGTGTATACATGAAATATGTCTTAAGTTGCTTCCAAAGTTGGAGTGTTACCGAATTTGGAACAGTAGAATCGGTCGTCTATGAATTTATAAAATGATTTTAATGGTAAAAGAGATTGTTGTTTTGAGGTTATGAGTTCGAGCAGTTGTCTCTACAGAATATGTGTACGTCTTAATAGATTAAGACAGTTTTGATCAACTACTATCTTATAATTGTATATTATTAAAATAAATCGGTGGCTTTTCCTGTTCGCATTTTTATATGTATAAATATTTTAAATATTTCGTTTCTCGTATAAAATGGTATTCAAAGTTAGGCTGGATAGTTGGGCATTGGTTTGGTGGAGTGGGTTTTCAAAAGGCAAATATTATTCAAGATTTCACCACTATTTAGCTTTGACCTAAATTCCCAATTCCAGATTTCTAAATGTTCACCCAATATCGGTGCTACCTACTTGATTGCAATTTCCAATATTTTCTCTCATTTTTTAGTTTATAAAACAAAAAGAAAGATATTGTTGGTTTGTTTAAGTAGTAAGCAGCTTGATATCATTTAAGTAAGTATCAAGTTCGAGTTATTGTATATATAAAAATATATGCTAGAAGTCTCGTTCACCAAAATCAAATATGTGATGCTGATTAATCCGGACCTAGAATGCGGGAGTAAAAAATAAAAAGGAAGACCTTTTGCAAAGATTGATTACTCATAAAAAAAATTTGCAAAGTTAATGGGTTTGAATTTGTCTGCAAGTGTTTTAATTTAACATTAGGTTAAACTATATGTTTAATATTTTAATTACTACTTTTATTTCGTTTTAGTCACCTAACTATTATCTTTTTAAAATCATATCAATGTTACGCTTTTGTATAATTCTGATCTCCCACTCTAAAAAAATCAACAAAACTGCTAATGTGTTTTTTGTTTTAATTTTTCAATGACGATATGGTATTATTTTATGGCGATACATCAACATCAAAGTTAATTTTTAATGTTTGGTGACTAAAATAAAATCAAAACGTACGTTATATATGATCTTAAACAAAAAATAGTTAGATGCCAAAATGAATAAAAGTAATAGCTTCAGTACTAAACATAAAGTTTACCCTTAATACTAAAGAACTGAATTTGTTGATTAATGGATATGCATGTGCAGTTGGGCATCGACTTGTAGATTATTTAATCAAGATCAAGTTTTTATTTGTATTTATTATAAATCGGTATTGGTTTGTTTTTTATATAATTTTTTTAAGTTTAAATATAGTTAATATTAATCGATTTGGACCAAAATGCACCGGAAAGGATGAAAGCTTTTTGATTTTTTTTTTATTGTAATAGATTTGGTGGTGTACTCTTTAGATATTTTAGGTTCGATTAGTTGTACATTTTCGATTGATATTTTGAAATTTTCATTCTTCATTCAATAATAATAATAAACTGGCAGTGGCAGGTTGTCAATATTTGGTGGTAAAAGTTGGCAATACATCGAACATTGTCTTATCCAATTCATTGGACTTGGCAACATATGCTTTTTTTCCATCTAATTATTAATCAATTCGTTATAGGTTACTATTTTAGATTTGAATTTTATATTCACCCGACTTGAGGAAAATTACGTTTAACAGATGATTTATGATTTTATTTCATGATAATTGTAGTGACCAAAAACAACTCAAGGAATTAACCCATCCAATGTCCCAGCTGGTAGCTTACCTACCAATTACCAACTACTGCAATATCTTGTTCAATATATGTAATCAGATACGAACACATGGCTTTATGTTAAGAGATGATCAATTTTTAAAATTTTAGGAGATAGATTTATAAAACTTTAAGGAGACGAAAATAAATTGTTAATAAAAATGTAAAAAATTTAAAATTTTCAAGAAACGACTATCCTAATTACCCCTCCATCCATCCATGTATGTAACAAACGCTTGCATGCATAGAGTAAATAATCTACTCTCTTTAAATGGTTTATCACATATTATTATTATTTTAAATAAATATAATAAAAAATAAATTTTTATATATGATAAATATTTTTTTCCTTTTTTAGAATATAAGATATGACATTCTCTTACATTTACTTTATTAAATTATTTTAGGGGGGAAACGTATATTATTTAAATTATTTATGCTAAGTAACATGTAATGTAAAAATAGATTTGGATCGTAAATTCTAATAAATATCAATTGGTCAATTCTATTGGAACATTAACGTTGTTTGCTTTGGTATTTTAGTTATAGCAAGATTTATATAAATCATTCTGATGAAATTAATTAGGAAAAGAAATCTGTAAAATTAAAAAGAAGCAAACTTTATCAGCTGTTCGCATTACGAAAAAGGAAAAAACCACAACCACTCTTCCCTCGTAAACAATATCTTCGAATTTGCGGTTTCCTTGAACCTCCCATCAAACCCTGTCTCTAACTCAATGATTAATTGATTATTACTATGATACATGGAGTAGGGTAAACTACATGTTTAGTCACTTAACTTTTGGTGTGTTTCTATTTTTTATCATTTGATTTTAAAATTTAAAATTTTATTATTGAACTTTTGACATTTTCTCTTTTAGACCACTCAACTGTTGAATTTTTAACATTTTTTTTTAATTTTATAGAAATTTTATGCAAAACCTCCATTTGGTTTTTGGACTCCCTTAAGTTCACCAGTGTTGAAATATTTTATTTTAAATTTGAAAGGTCAAGAGGAAGAAGAAAAATAATATATATCGATTTTATACTTATCATGCACAGAGGAAGACGAAGAAAAACCAAATTGATAAGAAAGGGAGAAGAGGAGAACATCTTGGTATCAATTACGTTACAGAGAATGATCGACTACAACAAAACAATGGTAAAGAAGAATGTCAATAATAAAAAATAATAAGTTTAAAGTTTTAAATCTAAAAAAAAAATATAACGCCCTAAAAATACAACCTTTTGGTGTTGACATTAAACACTTCACAATATATTAACAAAAACTAGAGAAATTCGAAAGGTTAATGATAAAATTGAAAATTTTAAAAGTTAGGTGATGAATCATACAATTTATCCTATTGATTAATATATTTAATATAAAAAATGCATATTTATTATATATTTTAATAAAATGGTCAAATTACAATGGGATATTTGAAAATTACATATTATCAAAATTATTGAGCATGCATCAAACAAGTTCTTATTGAAATGTTCAGGAAAGGCTAAAAGCCTAAAACATTAATAAACATATTGGGTCGTAAGCCACCAAACCGCCCCTTGTTAGCTTCAGCAATAAGCGAAATTTTCGACCGTTGTCGAATTTTTAGTCGTAAACCCGCGCGCATAAGCTCCACATTGTTTGAAAATTTGACAATTTCCCTTTATAATCACAAATACATCATAGTTCTGTTTCGTGTATCATTACAATCATTTACTGTAAAACCCGACACTTTAGTTTCAACGATGTGCAAGAACATAGAAACTTCACGGTGGTGGTGGTGGTGTCGTAGTCATATCAGCGGCTCAAACCGCTCTCTGTCTGGTAAATTATCATATTCTGTAAGAACTTTGCTTTGTTTTTTTTTTTCTTCCCAATTTGCTTCAATGGTGTGAAAATGACAGAGTTAGATAACAAGAAGATGGCAATGCTAAAATTGATGGAGGGAGACGGAGATTCATTTGCCCAACGTGCTGAAATGTATTACAAGAATCGGCCCGAATTGATTAACTTGGTCGAAGATCTCTATCGATCTCACCGTTCACTTGCTGAGCGGTACGATCGAGTTAAGTGCGGATATAGAAGTCGTCTCATAATAACATTGGGATCCCAATTTTCTTCCATGAAGTATATCTCAAATAACACCTATGATAGATGCTCCGATATTTTGGATTATGAAGACTATGCAGAATCCGACGTCGACGACCCCGACCCCAAACACGAACACAATAAGGATATATTAACAAAAGGAGATGCTGAGACTGAAGATGGTACCTTACTCGACCGAGAAATAACCGGAGCTGTTCCTAGTGAGGCCGGAGTCGATGAAGCGACGAAGTTAAGGGAAGAAGTAGAGAGATTGAAAGAAGAAAACGAGAATCTGAAGGCTGAATCGTTGAAGAAGGATGAAGAAAAGAGAGAGGTGATTCGGCAACTGAGTTTTGCCATCAAAGTGCTGAAGGATGAGAATGTGGAGTTGAAGAAGAGATTGATGAAAGATTCCATTAGGAAATGGAATCCCCTTGGATTCATCAAATTAAAGGATTCTTGAAATCTTATGTCATTATTGCTGCTGTACAGTTTTACATTATGTAGGATTACAACATTTTGATATTGCTCCAAATACATTATAAAAAAGTTAGAAATAATAAATTTAATCCATTTTTAATAACGTGTTATTGACTGATTTATTTTTGATATAATTAATATATTTTAATATTAGCAACTTAGATTTTTAAGTTATATATCGGTCAGATTAAATTATAACACTAAAGCCCATCGCTACTAATGTCTTAAGCTGTTGGAGTGTTCTACAAATTTGTCCCTTTAGTATCATAACACTAAAGCCCATATAATTTCAGCCCACAAGTAATTTATTTTTCAAGGAAAAATCTAGTAATTTAAACTTCTCTGGTCTAGGCTGTCATTTCCATAATCCCAATTATTTTTAAAGGGTAAACTACAAGTAAAGTATCTAAACTATTATTTTTGTTCTATTGTGATACTTAACTTTATTTTTTTAAAATCATACTTAATATTTAGTTTAAATTTAATTTTGATACACGTCATAAAAACTTAACGGTCCTATTTACCTGTTACCATAACATAACACCACATCATCATTTAAAATTTTTTTTTATCAATAGTTCTGTTGGTTGAGTCGAATATCAAATACACCACACAGAATCTTTAGAAAAGTACAAAACATAGCAGCCGTGCTTTACAAACAGTTGAAACAGACAATATATATATATAGTTTGATTGAGAGCCAATGAAATGTACAAAATAAGTTTGAAAAGTATGATTTTTAGATAAGCCTGAGATTTAATTATATCCTAAAGAGTAATGTTATTCATTGGGATTGGTTATTAAGGAAAGAGTGAATCAGCCTATTCACATCATCACATAAATAACAACTATTCAAAGTTTTCTTTTTTAGGAAAAAAAACATTAAAGTAGTTATCATATAATTTTACTTTCTTTATTTTAGCCTTTAAAATAATTGACCACATCATGCATTAACACAATGCAGTAAAATAATGGGCAACATGCAGTTATTAATACTATTATATAAATAAGATCCACATGAAAGTCAAACCATAAGATTTGACTTTGGGTTTATTGTTTGAAAAATAGCTAGCGAGGAAGATCACGTCTTCCTTGAGGAAGATCACGTCTTCCTTGTAAAAGAAAAAAAAAAAGTTGATATTGATAATCGAGGAAAAATAACAGAATTTAAGGTATAGTGATAAAATTATTCTTAATATTTGTGTAAAGGAACATTTTGGTCTTTATTTTATTTTATTTTTGGAATATTTTAGTTTATAATGTTTCATATTTTGATCAAAATACCTTTGTTGAAAGAAAATCGTTATTTGACTAACGGTCAATACATATTATTGGCATAATATTTTATGTGTTTAATTATTGATGTGATACATATCATATTATCACTATGAGTGACGTGACATTTATCATGTCATCAATTTAAACACATGTAAAATGTTACGTCAACAATATGTGTTGATTATTATTCAACAAACGGTTTCCTTTCAATAAAGGTATTTTGATCAAAAATTAAACATTAGAAAAAGTTTTACATATGTACATATATGTTTAATTATTATTTATATTTCAATTGATTAATTCAATTTTAAAATTAAAAAAATCAATTACGAAATAATTCATATAAATATATTTAACTCAAAACCGTGTCCTTATATAATAGTATAAATATATGCATATACCTCGGTTTTCGTGAGCGAGCCATTTTGATTGTTATCGTGGCATTATAGCCAGAGCAAAGTCGAAACCAATAAAACCGACGACGAGTCCAGCAATGCAAAAAGAACCGGTCATTATTGTTGGAGCCGGTCCTTCGGGGTTGGCCACGGCGGCTTGCCTTAACCACTACTCAATCCCTTACGTAATCATCGAAAGAGAAGATTGCTTTGCTTCTCTATGGAAGAAATCCACCTACGATCGCCTCCATCTTCACTTAGACAAACAATTCTGCGAGCTTCCTCATATGTCGTTACTCGACACTTACCCGAGATTCATCTCCAAGAACCAGTTCATAAGCTACTTGGACGATTACGTCTCTCGTTTTAAGATCAGCCCTTTGTACCGGAGAGCCGTCGAGTCGGCCGAGTTCAATGAAGCGACCGGGAAGTGGACAGTTAAGGCCAGAAACTTTGGGTCCGGTGAGGTCGAGGAGTTCCTTGGGAGGTTCTTGGTGGTGGCTAGTGGTGAAACAAGCAATCCTTTTACGCCTAAGATTGAAGGACTAGATGCTTTTCCCGGTTATATTCTTCATTCAACACAGTTTAGAAATGGCAAGGCTTTTGAAAACCTGAAGGTTTTGGTTGTTGGGTCAGGCAATTCCGGCATGGAGATCGCACTGGAGTTGGCAAATCATGGTGCAGAAACATCTTTAGTTGTTCGGAGCCCGGTAATAAATAAAGTTGTCTGAACTAAAATTCTACTTCTGGTGGTTCATAATCTTCTCTTCAACTGCAAAAGAAGATAATTGTTTATATATAAATATATGGAGTTGCAGGTTCACATTCTTTCAAAGGATATGATTCACTGGGGGTTGATTCTGTTGAAGTATATATCAGTTAATATGGTGGACACATTGATGGTTATGCTTAGCAAGCTTGTTTACGGAGACCTGACCAAGTATGGAATCCGTAGACCTGAGGAGGGTCCATTTCTCATGAAAGATGCTTATGGGAAGTACCCTGTTATTGATGTAGGAACCTATAAGAAGATCAAGTCCGGCGAGATCCAGGTAATATGAGATTATTTCAAAGAATATTAGTAACACTAAATATATATTTAGTTTGTCATATAAGATCAGTCTATATCAAAATCCCATGGGGTTAACGAGGGTTTTAATGATCTAAATATGTATAGTCGGTTGCAGGTCTTGCCAGGTATATCAAGCATAAGAGGCAATGAGGTGGTGTTTGAGAACGGAAAAATGCATCCCTTCGACACAATCGTCTTCTGCACCGGCTTCAAGAGGTCCACAAATGTCTGGCTCAAGGTAACATGACATGGGTGTTGCCTTTTCAAATAACATAAAACGAACAATGTTTAATATAATTAATTGAAACATGACTCCCATTACAAGTTAAAGTTAAGATGATATGAACATTGCATTTAATTAACCGCAACAAGTTCTAATGTTTTGATGCAGGGAGATGATTACCTGCTGAATGATGATGGAATTCCAAAGCCGAGTATCCCAAACCATTGGAAGGGAAGGAACGGTTTATACTGTGTTGGACTCTCGAGAAGAGGGCTGTATGGAGCAGCTGGTGATGCAGAGAAAATAGCTGATGATATCAACTCACTGCAGTAACAAATGATTCCTTTCAGCAATTAATAATATATATACATATACCGAGTATTACACATATATGTGAATGTGTGCCTATGTACATATGCACGCAGGCCATATCTGAATTGGCTTGTCAAAAAATGTAAAATGATGGATGCATGACACAAACTCACAAGGATCCAACCATAAAATGGCCAGAGCCACCTTATATTTCCCATTGAGTTCTGTTCATGAAAATCAACATAAGCTATGTAAACTTTTGCATGACAAACCTATCTAAATGGTAATTTTCTATTCAGGATTTTCCTTTATCCCCTCACCCTTGTAGCCAGGATGATCAAACTGAATCTGCACACTTTTAAAGATTTCCAAAGGAATCCATCAAATTCAAAGGCATGTCAAAATTTGAAACCTGATTGCCCATAAATGCCCTGCACTGTTGCCCAGTTGTTTCCAACCGAATCAAGATAAAGTTCATTTGTAAGACTTGATGATTGCCCTACAACCTGCAAAAAAAGGGGCAGCCATGAGAACCTGTGACCAAATTTTTTAAAAATAAGTACATCTGTATCACACATTTGTATCCAGAAGGACCAGAACTCACCTGAGTCCAGCTAACATTGGCTCCCGTTACATGATAAAACGCAGTTGTATAAACAAAAATCATCAAGAGATAGTAATATTTTATTTCCTTGCTACCTTATCTATGAACAAAAAATATATATTTTATTTCCTTGCCAATAACACACAGGAGAACAAGAGAAGCTACCTATGGGGTAGAAGCAACTTTCAACTGCATTACAAACAATATATAACCAAAATTCTGTTGAATATAAAGAAGTAACTAATGGCAGTACAAAACTATCGTCCATTCAGCACCAAACTTGATGCAACGAAGTAGTCACCAACAGAAAAGCTGAATCGAAAATCATCACCAGAATCAGAGGAATTTTAGTTGGCTCGGGTTGCCTGTAAAAAATGTATGGTCATGGTAAAAAATTACCAAAGCCTATGGAATCTTCCATTCATTGGGTCTAGTTTCAAAACAATAAGGTAGGATCCCTCATTATGAGAATAGCACAATAATAAATTAACATAGAAAACAAACATGATACAAAATGAGTCATAATATTGTTCTTTTATCAAATTATCACATTTTCCATCCGCTACATATTCAAAAAGCTACCCTTCTAAAAATGATATTACCATACAACCTTGATCATCAAAAAGCTTCATGTTCAATAGCTTAACTTTAGACAGGTAAGCAGAGCATGTGAGTTTAACTAGATTAATTATTAGCTTCAGATAGTTGGGGATTGGCATTGTCAAATCCTCCACTTGTTGGGGCTGCAGAACCACTGGCATATGGTGCAGGCACAGCCATGGAGGGTGCTACGTCAGAAGAAGTGGGTGTCATTGCAGTTCCAGGATTCGTTGGTGGTGGAGCCAGTGTAGGAGGCCGTGGAAGGCCATTTACTTGACCAGGAAAAGGAGCACCAGGCGGTGCCAACATTGGTGGCATGCCTGGAACAGGAACATAACCTGGTAATGTCACCAATGAAAACAAATCAATTCCACCTTGTGTGCGCAATTGAGATCTAGAATAAAAAAGCCAATGACTTGATTGAAAAGAAGCCAGTATAAGGTATATGCTACATAAAACTACAGCTTTATGGTAACAAAAGAAGTATGGAAGATAAAATTTACTGACTTTACTTAGTTTACTATCACCACATAAATTCATGACAGAAATTATATTATTAACAAAACATCCAAACCTTAAACTAGCAAAAACAATAATGATGCAGATATGTGTTGAATCTTACCAGAAGCACCTGGAGCTGGTCTGGGCAGAACAGGAGGCCTCATCCCAGGGATCAATGGTTGCATAACAGGTGTTGGAAGAATGGGAAGTCGGGGCCTCTGAGCCATTAGATGTTGATTAAAAGCAGCTCCAACCTGCTGGAAAGCTGCTGCTTGGCCAAGATGTTCCTTGATCCTCTGGTCAATTAGGCTCTGGGTCTGTTGCTCCTCAAATTGCTGATAGTAAATTCTAACATTTGCCTAAAGTTACACAAAGAATGAGGGAAAAAATTATAACCCTGCCATAAATATATGAAATACAAAGAGAAAATTATCTACAGTTACCTTGTGCTTGTATCCTGCATTATGTTGTTTTCTAACTGATGGCTGAAATTTAAACCCAAACAAAATTGTCAGCAATTGTTCTAAACCCAACAATCAAACTAATGAACCTTAATTTTTTTGAATATTTTAATTGTCTATAGACTAAAATATGAAAGGATTACATTAAACACAAACAGATTTTTCAAAAAATAATAAAATAAAATAGAATCACAGAACTCACAGAGTCGTGCGTCAAATAAGTGTCGCAATAATCACAATAGTACCTGCAAATTTAAATTCAAATAAACATAACGATAAATGCTAATGGAAAACCTCCTACCGATGATGTTAATTTCTTTTAGAATTGAATAAATTGGTAAAATCCTTACCGAGGCATGACTGTGAGAAACTCAGAATCGGAGCTCGTTGCAGATCGAGAAACCCTAGAGAGAGAGCGCCAGAATGACGTATAGAGCCAATGAAAAACCCTAGCTCAAAGACGATGAAAAGGAGGGAAAATGGATCTAATCGATTTTGACAAGTCGCCGTAACTTCTAAAAGCTCTAATCGATGTAAATTCGGTTGTAAAAATACCGGTTTTCTATTTAAATGATAAATATTATTTTCATATAATCTTTAAATAAAGTGATAAAAATTATAAATTAATAAATTGACACACAATATCAATTAATAATATATAATTTCTTAGATAATGCAATGTAAATAGAATAGCTCAATGTAATCACCATTATTATTATTATTATTATTATTATTATTATTACAAATAAATAAAACATTTATTACAAATCCATTTACCCAACATATAAACCCGAGCCCAATTATAAAACCAAACGCGGGACCAATTACGAACCTTAACCTAACCCTGATAGTTGTTGCCCAAGCTTGCGCCGTTGTAGATTCACCTAACATCTCTGTCGACATCCGTCGTCCGTAGGGCCGGTCATCTTCACTATTCCACCATCATCATCTCAGCAACACAACAAAAGGAAAAATTCGAACAAATCCAACCAACCCCCGAAAAATTCGATGCATTATAGGGCACAAATCATTACAAAAAATTATGAAAATAGATTAGGTTTCCTTTTGTAATTTTTTTATTATATCTCTGTAAGTTTCGGGTATAAAATCCCGATAAAAAACATGTAAGGGGACTTTTCCCCACTAATTTTCGAAGCAATACAAAAAAGAAAAAATATTTTCATAGGTAATTTTTTTATTTTTTGGTTTTTTTAGCAAGTTTCGGGGGGGAATAGAAGGGAATTGAAGAGTTGCCTGAGAAGAGAGTCGAACTGAGGGGCTTTGTTGTGGCCGAAGATAGGGGAATCGAAACTCGGGGAAGTTTTTGGGGTATATAGTGGTTGTATTTGGTGATTTTGACCCTAGATTCCGGTCTAGGGGAGTAGATTAGAGCGTATAGGGTAGTTTGGGGGTTGGTTTAGGAATTCCACGGTGGCCGAAATGACAGTCGATAGTGTTGACGGTGGGGTTTTGGCTCTCGACTGAGAGGGAGAAGGGAGAGTTGAGAGAGTGTTTAAGGTTTTTTTAAATAGGTTAAAAATGAAAAAAAAAAAAGACGATGAAATATGTTTTATATAGAAGTTTAGGGGTTATTCATGTTTATGTCCCCCAAGGTTAGCCGTGTTTTTGCATTTTGGTCACCTGCAAGGACCAAATTTGTTGTTTGCCCTTTTTTATGTATGTTATGTATTGTTGGTATATTTGCTTTTTAGTCCCCCTAGTTTTAACGTGTTTTTGCATTTCAGTCACATGTTATGACTTCTTCGTACTTATTTTAATTTTAATGAACTGATTTTGTGGTTGTACCTATTTTGATTGTTAGTTGATAAAAAAGAGAAAATTATGTTTTAGTCATTCTAGTTTAAGCGTGTTTTTACACTTAAGTCACTGATTAATTTCAATTTTTCACGTTTAATTTTATATTTATTTCAATTTAGTCATTATTTTAAAATTCACATACTTAATTGAATTTGGTCCTTGTATTATGTTACTGGTTTCAATTTATTCCCTAAATTAATTAATTTATTAATTAACATTAGTATCAATTAGTATTTAATTTAGACTTTATACTTATAATTATTCATTTAAGTGCATTTAAATTTTTCATGTATTTTTTGTTGTCTTAATTTATTTTTATTTGTTATGTTATAAGATTTACCCTTAGGTCATGTTCTTCCCCTATTAAATTATTTAACTTAGATACTAGGTTTTCACCTTAGTTTTAATTAGGGAACAACCCTACTTGAGTTTTTGCATAAAAATGCCCGATCACTTGAGTTGGTTGTTCGAATCAATAATTAGTTCATTTATCACAATTAATTTTTCAAAGATTTAGTTTTATAACCACCTTAGGTCCCTAAACTTTGGAGTTTACATTTAAGTCTTTGGACTTTAGTTTCCTTGCATATTAGTCCTTAAACTTTTAATTAGAATTTTAAATTAACATAATAAATTTGGATAATTAGAGCCTCCACTTTAGGTTAGATTTCAATATAGGCCCTCCAATTTAAGGAGTAATATGAGTTAGCCCTCGCCTAAATGCTCAAGGCACCATATCAATTATTTGATTCAATAATTGGTTAAAATCAAGTAGGATTAATATTAGAGCCTACATTTTTAGGTTTATGCCTATGTGTTCTTTAATTATTCATAATTTGACACTTTAAGCTAGATAAATCCTTAATCTACTCTTAGTTTAATTAGGGTTAGTAATAAACTGTTTGATTATATCATGTTTTAAAACTTAACGCAATGTTCACTTATTAGGGAGTCAATAATATATCTCCCGCAAGTACGCTCAGGGGTGATTACTAGTGATTCCTAAAATAGGTTCACATCCTTTTCAAGATTGCATCATGATTTCTAAAATATCGAGGCAATGTCCGGTTATTGGACACAATAATTTATTTCTCACATTCATGTTGGGGGCGAATGCTATTGGCTTTAATAAACGAATATCCTTTTCAGCTTTGTATCTGTAATGATTTAAAAAAAATAAATACAGTTTGAACTCAAAATTTTCAATTCTAAATATAGAGTAATCAACTAGGTACCAATTTTTGGGCTATGGGGGTTAATTCTTCCCCACACGTAACTGACTCTCGAATCTATTTTTTGGTTTTCGTAGACCCTAAACTCAGTATTTTTTATAAAAATAATTTTTTTTAAAATCACCATGTTTTTACGGTGTATCGATCACACCTTAAAATAATTGGTGGCGACTCCTCACATTTCCAAATCTTTTCAAAAAAAAAAAAACTCTTAAGTCGTACCAAGTTTTTCCCCACTTAGACGAAAAACAATGTCGACACTCAAATAAGGGGTTGAAGAATTTATTTTCTTGACTAAAGTTATAGTGTAAGTAAGAAAATGTGGGAGAGCACTTGGCATCTTTGGAAAGAAACATGGAATATATGAGTTTTTTTAGAGAAGATATATGAAAGACACGTCGTCTTTTCCATGTTATATACAATTTGGTAAATTGTGCAGTCAAAAAGTCGATAGACAAGGGTGGGTGCACTAAGCCCCATAGAGAAACAAACATACTCATTATTTTTTTTAAATGTTAACATTAGAGAACAAAAAAATAGGGAAATTTGCATACCTATATCCTTTTTCTTAAAAAAATATTAACATTTTTGACTAAATTTTTGAATTTTTAAAAACGGCATTATTATTATTATTATTTTAAATGGAAGATCCATATGATTTTATTTGAATTCTTCTTAAAAAAGAAGATGATGATGATAAAGACTTTGTTAAAAAACTTCTCTAAATTTGAATGGAGAAAAAAAAGAGTGCCTCATATCCGAATACAACACATAACACAACGAAACCAATCACTAACTAGACACCCACATCAGAGTCCACAGTGCCGAAACCTAAACAAAACTTGGCACCGAAACATTTTACTATAACACCACACCAAGCCACATGAAAAACTGAAGCACGTGCTAGTTGGCAGTCTCCACAAATGGGTACAAAGTCAACCAAGCTAATATACCACCATTTCAAAAACAGTGAACAGATTGTAGGCACCACTCAAACCATGCTCCCAAACCCCCATAATCAGGTTTCACTACACATAAACCAGATTAAACCATCCGACCAACTCAGAAGGGTCTACAATCCAGCCCAATCAGCAATTCAAGTTCGTACCAGAAAGTGACGACCACATGAAAGGCGAAGCTCGCTTCAACCCCTCAATAGCTAGCACATGCGCCTCCACATTTTTCTCTCTATGCACAAAGTTAACTTCCCAGGAATTGCGAACACACAAGGAATTACATTTTCCAACCAAACCAGCAAACGGAGAAGGAGAAAGACTGGGGTTTTTGATCCAACTAATCGCTAATAACGAGTTTGATTCGATGAGGACTTTACCTTGAAGATCATTCTTGAGGGAATCAACAATTTCACAGGCTTCCAAAATTGCAGTGAGTTCAGCAGAAGTAGGTTCGGACAATCCAATGGATCTTGAAAAGCGGAGGAGGCTCACACCATAGTGATCACGAAGAAGGACACCAATTCCTGCCACTCCAAAGCCCCCAGGGACAGCAGCATCGACAATAAGTTTAAACTTTCCAACCGTGGGAGCGATTCATGAACCAACAATAGGTCTCACGGGATTAGGATGGACTAGAGAAGAAGTAGAGGGACATCAGATAAACTCGTCGATGGATGCGAACGATTCTAGTTATTTCACCTAAACCAGGAACCTATCCTTAACAACGCGATGTGGAAGATCTGGCAATGATTATATTGTTTATTGTTAAACACAATTTCGTTGCGAGTCAGCCAGATGGTCCATGCAATTCCAAAGAAGGCTATTTGCCAAACAGGTTTGCAATACGGTTTAATGTAAAAATGCTCTCATAGAGTTAACAAGCTTTTCAGAGATTTGGGAATAACAACCCCAACGTTCCAAGAATAGCACCACGCTTGCCATACCCTCCATGATACTTCACAATGACATAAAAGATGGTCGACCGTTTCTGCCTTTTTATTACACAAGGCACACTGAATCGAGGAGGACGCACCACAGTTTCGTTTCTACAATTCTGCACGAACAGGAATACGACCCAACACTACTTTACATGTAAATATCTCCACTTTAGGAGGAGCCAAACCAGCCCAAACTAGCTTCCACACTCTATCCGAGTTTTCTATATCAGCTGTAGAGAGAATGTAGAAAGATTTTGAAGTGTAACACCCCGACGAGTCTCCAATCCGCCAGAGGCTATCACTACACAACGAATTGACTGGTGCACGACTCAACACACTCAAAAAGTTGTTCCACAAATTAACTTCCCACTCGAATAAGCTCCTACGCAGTGGGATATTCCAAGACCAGCAGCCATTCGATTTAGATCCAAACTCATTTACTTTGCCTTCCCTTTTTAACACTAGTGCTTGAATTCTAGGGAAAGCGACTTTTAGCGATGATTCACCAATCCAGACATCATCCCAGAAGTTAATTAAGCTACTGTCACCAAGCATTAAGCGGAGATTACAGGTAAAACTGTCGTCTAAAGACAGTAAAGGCTGAGAGATATTCTTCCAAACCCAAGACAAATACCGACCATGTCAAAAGCCAGGCAGCAGGCATCTATGGTTAGAACTCGATCTACCGTCGACCACTCTTTTCCACAAGCAATGTGGTTCAGTCCTGTATCTCCAGATCCATTTATTTAAAAGGCACCCATCATTATCGGGTCGTTCGTACGACAACTTAGAAATTATTAGGTAATCCTGACAATTTTTTTATTTACACTATAATAAACACTCTAATTAAGTTAATTGTTTTAATGTTAAATGTTTCCTCTTCGTAGTGCATGCAACATTATAATAGTTTTCTATGTTAGTAAAGATATATATATATACACACACACATAATAATATAATAATTTTCACCCTCCCTGTGTCATGAGATTATTTCTAAGAATGGCTTTTTTCTGCTAAATCTTTACAACAATAAATATTAAGGTTAGTGTCTAGATGTCATATTTAATTAAATATAATTAATTATTTTTATTCAATATTAAATTTACAATTTTTATTTAATATTATATTTTTTGTTTACTTTATGTGATTAAATATATTTTTATTCAATATTAATGCTAATATAATAATTGTATTATATATAATATTAAATATGATCATTTTATTTTGTACTTGAATTAAACATAAATAAAATAATATTATCAATGATAAAAATAATAATAAATTTTAGAAACACATTTCAATTAATTTAGGATTAAATAATTTTTTGAAGACTAAAGTCAATAAAAATAAAGTCGAGAGGTAAAATATATCATTTACCATTCTTAGTAAAATAGTCATTGGTCAATATGACACGTGTCATATTTCTATCGGCCATTAACTTTTTAGAAAATATAGTTGATACTTTTAGGATAACAAAAGTAAGTGTTAGGGGTCATAGGTTTAGAAAAAATTAAGAGATAACTCGATGAAATATGTATAATTTAAGGGGGGAAATAGTTTAATAAGCGAATAATAGTCTTTATGAGAGTTTTCAAAATAAACCATAAAGAATTAGAGATAACCTATGTTATCAATGTGTCAGTAAAACAAATTAACGTTGACATGAATTTTTTATAGTACAAATGTAATTGAAAACTCTAGAAAGTTTAATCATATGCTACGGTAAACAAGAAGTTTACAGTTCAAAAATTTTAATTAGTTTATATGATTATTTACATAATCTCAATCGATAAATGATATTACATGGTCTTAGTAAATGCATATTCAAACTAATTATATGTATATTATTAATTTGTACCATGTCGTTTGCAAGATTGTTTACAATAACAAATTTAAAAAAAGAGAATATCTCGGTTATCTCTAATTCATATCCACAAAACAATTTAATAAGACTATTGATTTAGTGTTACTTAAACTATGAAAACACACATAATTTTACTTATATGATTAAGCTAATAAATCATAACAAAGACTTTTTATTACATTGAACTTTTGATTAGAAGTTAAATACTTTTCATTCAGGAATTTTTGGACGTGCGATGCAAGAGGCCAACACAAAAGAGAAAAACAAAATGGATTGCAGCCCAATCTCAAAACAAGTAGAACCAAAGAGGAAGAAAAAAAAAGGACCAATAACAAGTAGAACAAATGCCTCGTAGTTTTTTTAGCTATTTTTTTAATAGACTATGGTGATATAAAATAATATTTAATTATAATTTTTTTACTATTAATAACACATATTTTATAAAAACAATTGTTTGAATCTAATTTTTTTTAATAAAAAAACTACTTTTTTTTTCCAACAAAGGAAGCCACTAAAATATTCCACGCCAAACACGGACCCTTCGTAACTAATACTATTTTGATTCAGTGAAACTGACGACACGTTTATTTAATGTTGTTTTATAATCTTAAAGTCAAATATAAATGTCAAGCACTCAATTAAGTTTGGTCGTTTACTTCCACTAATCTATATATATATATATATATATATATATATTTCTCAAATTTCGGAATGCTTCAAAAATTGCTTTTGTATTGTTCTGATAGATAAACAATTTTTGAAGCATAGACTACTTTGCATTAATCAACCATACAATACAGATTATAAAACAGTTTTTGAAAAATTTAGATTTGGATGTAAAATTTAGATGATTTTCCACGCATAGTCATCGTTTTTGTACAGAATTTTTTTTTATAAATTTGTTAGACTTAAAATTTTAATTTTCATGCAAAAATATATCATTATGTATAAAAGATTTGATAGGTGTATTTTTACATAATTCTTAGAATTTTAATTTACTTTTAATTTGGTTCCTATGGTGCAAACAAACATTAGAATTAAACTAAAAGTCACCAGCAATTGTCACCAACTCTGACAATAGAATTATGAACTTTCAAAGACCTTTCATTCTACAAGAACAAACATTACTTTTTTAATTAAACTAAACACATAGTTTTATATTATAATCACAATTCAAACAACTAAAACAATATTTTGATTCCTATAATTTTAATTTCATTTCAAAGTTTTATACTATAACCATAATTCAAACAAATAAAAAAATACTATAAGCATTTCATTTAAATGAATTGTAGGTTAATTTGGCATATGGACACCATTTATTTTTATAAAAAAAATAGCCATTTCCCCCCTAAAATTGGCATTATAAATGTTTAATAAATTGTAGGTTAACTTCATTTGTTAAACAACTAGTGTGTTTGCTTACGTTGGTTGATTTAAAAGGACTGATTATCATTTTGTTCCTTTCCATTTGAACTACTTTTGTCTTCGTACAGAATGAAGTAGATGAAGAAAGAGTAAAGACGAAGCAAGAAAACACCCCTGGAAATTAAAATTAAAATAATGAAATTAATAATTTATTAAGTAATTTTAGTAATTAACTAAAGTATTGTTCTTTTTTTAAATTTGAAGTTCAAATAATTATATTTACGTGAAATACGTGTACCGTCGATGATTAAAAAATTATATTGACAACACCACCGTGTATTGACTGTAACCTATTAATAAAATAATAAAATAAAGTTTGCCAATTCGATGAAGAAAACAATCAGGTAGTTTCCGGTGGTTGATTGCAGATCATACCAAAAGCACAAACCTGCCAATTAACCATTAATTAGAGTGGGGTTTATGTATTTGTATTATTATTATCATTAATGGAACAATCAATACATCCATGTGACGTTTGCAGTGTGCATTTAGTGCAAGTTCTTTAGCAAACATCATCGTGCCCCACTCTTCAATGCTCAGCTGCCCACACCCCTCCACATAATTAAGCCAAGTCTTTTCCCAATATCTTTTAAGTTAAATACTTTTATAAATGGTATTAATATAAAATATATATATGAAATTACTCGATATCTTATAATTTTAACATAAGATTAACGAATGTGATTATTTTATAACTTTTGATTTTTCAAATGATTATTTTATATTTTTTTATAATTGGACGACCAACCTAAAAAATATCTTAAAGTTGATGGACTATCTAAGTAGTTTACTCTAAATACATTTAAAGAGATGGTTAAAAAATATGAAGCTGTCAAATTATGGTTTGATACCTTTACTATTTTTAATCTCAGATTCTGTTCTCATATTTTTTTTAATGATACAGATTTGAGGATGGAATGGAAAATACATAACGCCACAGGATTCGGACTCTAATATATGATGGCAGGAAACAACAATTTTACCACTTTTTTTTCCTATCGAAACAATTAACCACCCTAACCGTAACTTCATCAACTAGTTTATAACTTAGGGATTTTTGTTTGTCTTTTAATAGAATCATTCAGCGTTGAGCGCGTTTGTTTTGTATCTCTGAATGATTCAGTGCTGACTGATTCAAAAAAATAGTGTTGAATGATTCAACACAAAAGTACATTCTGAATCATTCAGAGTCAGTTATCAAATAATATGTCACATTCAGAGTCAAACCATTCGGAGTATCTGAATTATTCAACGCTTAATCATTCTGAAGTAAACAAACAACTCTTTAAATTTGATGTTTTTAAAAATATCATGTCAATGTTTTTTTTACATTATAAAAATAAAATAATTAAATTATATCAAAGTTGATCACGCAAATCATAAATTAACATAAAATAGAATATTTGGGAGCGCGGTGCTTCTAGAAGTTTTTGGTATTATATTTATGTTGTCCTTCTAGAAGGGGATGGGTCTAGTCTGAACTGTGATCTATCAATATCAACCCCATTTAATTTGCGTTATGTATTTGCTTCTAGAAGAAAAAGGGGCAGATGTCATTTCTTTTTAAAATATATATATATATATAATTGTGTTTTATTTTCTTCTCCGTTCAAAATAAAATATACAAATTTTCCAATGCGTCAAACCCCCCAGCAACAGAACCCCATTTCGCTTTCTTTTTTCGTATTTTATTTTGTTCTAATTATTGCTTATGAAAATGTTCTGATTTATGCAGTATTTAGCAGAGACTTAAAATCAAAGTCAGTAGCATTTTTTTCCTTTACTTTTTTCCCTTTCGGAGCTGTTGTTTGATCGAAGATATGGGTATTAGGAGAAGCAAAGTCGTTGATGTGTCTTCTTTCTTGCTCTTCGAGGCCACCGGCGATTCAGAATCCGGTTGTCATTACGATCCCGCCATGGTTGATATCAACGGTGAACACGACGACGACGACCATGATTATGATGATGATGCGGAGTCATGTAGCTGTGATACTGTGTCTGGTTCTCTTCCTGGTGTTAGAGAGATTGTTAGCTTAGAAAACAAATTTATGAATGTTGATGGTGACGTTGATGTAGGTGACGACGAAGACGACGACGACGGCGTGGTGGAGCAAATGGAGGTTCAATTGTATAAGAAATGCTGCAGGGATGATCAACGTGTTAATGGAGTTTTTGTGGCAAAGGAAAACAAGCCCTCATCAGCTGTTTCCGTTGAGAACTCAAACAAAACCATGAATGAGATGGAAAAGAACAGGCTGTTTTGGGAAGCTTGTTTGGCTTCTTAGAAAATCTGGGTTTTTTCCCTTTCTGTTCTTTCTAGCCAAACGGCTTTCACCTTCACCACTCTCCTTACTAATTCGTTCTTCTCCATGTTCCTGGGTTTCTCCGTACTTTTTACTAGTAATTTTGTTTGAAATTGGTGCTAATTGTGTATATATAAACATTATTCTATGACAAGAAAGTATATAAAGGAATCCATGAAGCTTTGTTTCTCTAGTTCTTTTTTGCGGTTAATAATATCTGGGCTTTTATTTTTCTTTCTCCAGGAATTATTAGATTATAGATGGAGAGCCCATTAATTGACAATGAATTGCTCTAGGCATTTTCTGACGGCACATGAGAAAGAAAAAGGAAAACAACAGGGACACCACTCATGAATGCTCTCAAATCAAAGAATCATTGTAGCAAAAAACATACAGTGATTTTAGCTCTGGTAACTGTTAGAGATGTGTATTTTTGGATATCAAATATTTTTTATTCAAGATTTTAGGTATTCTAAAATTTGAATTATTGAAACTATTATCTTAAATTTCAATAAAAATTAGATATTCAAATTTTTAAACCTTTTGCTATCGTTGACTTCTGTGTATTATTCTCTTCATGTTTCTTCTTTTTAATTTTAGTCGGATCTTACGTTTCTGTTTATATGCAGAGTTTTTTACGCATGGATTTAATTGCAGGGATTAATTCTTATTATAGATGTGCATATGTAGATTGTTTAACTATGTATTTATTTTTTATTTTTATACATGCATTGCATTTTATCTTTATTTTTAATTTTCTGACTGTCGGAGGTCTTTCACGGAAGCTGCTCTCAACTTGGCATTGGGGGCAGCCTATTACCCTACCTCCTCTTATCCCATTACATATGGGAATAGGGTTTTGTTGTTGTTGTTGTAGTAATATGTTAGGGATATATAATTCTATTGATCATGTTAATAGAGTTTTCATACTGATTGTTCCTTTACCTTCGTTCCGATAAAGTGAACCATTTCACTTCCTTATTATTTCATACATTACAGATAGATTGTTTTATCGCATGCAATATAAAATTGAGTATTACTCGAGTACTCAGAAAACATACATTTTACAAAAAATAAAATATATAAAATCTAAGGAACGTTATCAATCAAATGAAGGGGCAGTTGATTCACTGTGAAAATAATGATTAAAACTTATGATCTAATGGAGCAAAACAACGAGGTCATTAGGGTTAGAAGAGAGCAACCACAAGTATCATTTCCAGGTTGCTGTTGGATTGTTAAAATAAAATGAAAATTGCGAATGGTTTGATTGTCTATTTTTTTTTTACCAAATCATATTCTGCTCTCATAAACCCATCGGCCATCATCGCAAGACTTTGCACCTTACAGAGTCGACTGATGAAATGAAGGGAATTATTGATTTTACAAACCCATCATCACAAGGTGTTGGGAGTTGGGGCAGGCTGGGATTATTTGGTTAAACTCTTCTAAAGGCGCATATTTTATTTTTCCAGATTTTCGGATAATCCAAACTTGAATTTTTTATAGATTTGTATTTCATCCAATTATTCAATTTTTTGAATATTTGATCTTAATTTTCCAAAAATTAAAAAATATATATGAATTTTTGGATCGAATCAACGGATAGAACATATCTAATTGAATTTGTTTGCACATCCCTAATAACTACATCTTTTATGCAATTAATTTTATTTTTTAAATAACTTTTTAGAAGAAAAAAATTATATTTTCAAAATCAAATATAAAATTTCTTTTTTAAATTTGAGATTTAATAAAAAATTTAAAATTTAAATTTTTTGAAAAAGTTCAAATATTTTTTTTGAAAAATTTGAAAGATGAAATATTATTTTTTTAAAAAATTTAGGGGTAGGGCCTCTAACCTCATTACAGTCCACCGTATACGTAATAAAGAAAAGCACCGAGAAAAAAGTTTATTATATTATAATAAATATTAACTTTATGCAAATTGCTAGTATTATTTATTGTAAATAATGTTATTAACTCATGGCTCAGAGAAATTAATTAGATAGGAAGATGTAGGTTGATTCAACTAATAATGTAGATGAAACTAACTTTCAACTCAACCAGTTGCTGCATTCAATTTACTAATAGTGATTAGAAAGCTGGTTTTTAACTCTTTCTTGGCCATTTATTTTTAACCTTTACTTACATTTATTGTAGCTGAAAAATTACTTTCAAAGGTGAAGGGTTGGTACCAGCTTTTTCGTTTTTTACTTCATAAATTTCCTGAATTTTACTGGAAAAAAATAATGTAAAATTTTGAGGGTAAATAATGGGTTAATTATAAGACTCAAAAGAGTTACTAAGGTTTTTTTAATACAAATACAACCTATAGTTTTATAAAAAAAAATCTACAACTTAAAAAAAACAATTAGAATGAATTAACACAATAAACTAGTCAATCGACATCATGTAAGACCATACAAGAAAAAATGTTAAAATTCATCCCAAAAAACTGAAATAAAAGACTGATACAAACAAATTTGATTACATCGGCAAATGAACCACAAAATAATATTAAACTATTGAAGGACATCTGACAACTGTAAATCGAAATCGAATGTCGTGAGAAAATTAACAACGAACGTTAATTGCATACGAAAGTCCAATCTAAGGGTTCAAAACAAGAAAGATCAACAAAACAACAAATAAATATCACATTAACTAGTCAAGACGACATCATATCCAACCCTAAAAGAGAAATACACAAAAAATTATTAAATAATCGAAAACATGTCATAAAATCAAAGAAAATGTACCATGAAGACAAAAATTATTATAAACTAATATATATATATATATATATATATATATTATAAAAAAATAAATAAGAAGGATAAAAGAAATCAACAATTAATACTAAAACTGATGTGATGTTCGATCTTAAATTTTTCAAAAAATAATAACAAATTATTTGATCTCAGGTTGCTTGATTTGTGCACTTCCTTAAAATTTTACTTTAACGGAAGAGATACAAAATGGGGTTGAGATGAAGTGAGGGTGATAAGCAGTTTTTGGCGAAAGTGTCAATCACAAAGGTTGCTAATAAGTCCATATGGGATGGGATATACACTTTACTAACAGGAATATAATAATGCAGCCAAAATGGTAGGATCGGTAAACTTTTGTTTGGATTAGTTTCTTTCTCTTCTTCATTCTACAATATTCATCCTCGGCCTACACTAACCCAAAACCTAACATATTTGTTCAGTTTTCAATGATTTTGTTGTCACCGGCCATCGTTTCTATATCCAGAAAAATCTTCAATCTCTTCTTCTCACTTCTGTGGTTAATTTTATCTAAAAATCACTACAGAAACATAAATCTGAAGAAGAAGAAGAAACCATGTAACCCATTTTGATTTTCGGATAAAATGTGTATATTATATCCAAAGAACAAATAAAATCCAAGAGAATCAAACAAAACCCCAGATACTCATCGCCTAATACCCCAATCTGTACAAAGTTGGGAGCTCAGCCTATTTCTACCATAAATTTTAGCTTGAATCGTCTCCCTAATGGAACCCACAATTACATCACCAGTCGAATGTGAATTCCTAAAGCACCTTCTATTCCTTTCCCTCTAAACAAAATAGATGAAAGCATTCCAAGCCAAACGAAAAACTGTAGCTTTTACCGGCTTACCTCGAGCATGAGCGCAAGCCCAAGCTACCTCGCCCTCCCAATCCAGAACCGACCAATTAATACCGCTGGTGACAAGAATAATTTTCCATATCTCCACCGAGAAGGAGCATCCGAAGAAGACCCATTTTGATTTTCGTTGGCCACCGCTTTGACAAATTTCATCACAATTCACACCCTCAAAAAATTGAAACCGTTAATCTTTATCAATTCGATTATAGGGTCCATTAAATGCAAAACAGTAGCTTAAAGTGGGAAATATAATATAATCAGCAACTAAAATGTGACTTAAGCTTCTGATTTATCTTCAACTTCAATCAAAGTTCTAAATGCTGAGCTATGTATCCCCAACAACATAAACCAAAAAACATTGACAATAGGAAATTATAAGACAATCAGTCACATAGTCAGCTAACTAAGTCTACATGACTTAAATTGGAACCATACCACTGCAAATCAATCACACCTAAAAATTACAGCTGCCCTATAAAGCTGAACCTAACTCCCTAATTTTGCACGTCTCGCTACATGTTTCTAACACGCTTGACACCAACATCGCCTCGATTTCCCCCCGATCTTTAATCGAATCGATGATAGAATTTCGGGACCTGAACGAAACACATGCCAAAAACAACACACACAAGTTCAGCCCTTGCTGAACCAGTGATTCAAACAAACAATCCAACACTCCCCCTATCTGAATTTCAACCAAAACCCAACTTTATCGATTTACCGAAGCAACTGCAATGGAGGCAGAGTCGGCTTGTGGTACTCATTGGAGTGTTGTGGACTCCTCTACTTTGTCTGTCATCTCCATATCATCAATGTCCTCTCCATCGGTTATACTCGAGCCCGAATTCTCATTCTTGCTATCCGTAAATGAAATGCTGGACTCGACATTGCAGCCCGGCCAACTCCCATGTAATTCATCAACATGTTCCTCCAAAATACTATATGTAGCATTCTTGTTCTTCTCATCATCCAGTTGCCTCAAGAAGCACTCCGCTATTTCACCTAATGGCTAGACTTCATCTTCGTCTTCATATTCATTGTCGTCTCTGCTAGAGTTAGAGTAAAGGGAATTATCGTAATCTGACATAGGCCCTTCGCAACTCGAATCCATCTCTTGCAGACTATGACAAGCAAACTCCTCATCTGTAGGGCCATCAAATGGATACGATGAACTTGCAGTCTCTTCACGTTTCCGCAGTGTTTTCACGATCAAGGTCTGGAGTAAGTTCATAACTTGAACAGCATGCACAAGAGCCGTCAATGGATCGGACATATGTTACCAGAGAACAACAATCAACATAAGCTGCTTCATTTTACGAATATTTTAAGTACATCTTTGATCTAACAATCTCCCGGATATTTACCTGCAGTCTCTTCACGTTCCCGCAGTGTTTTCACGATCAAGGTCTGGAGTAAGTTCATTACTTGAACAGCATGCACAAGAGCCGTCAATGGATCGGACATCTTTTACCAGAGAACAATAATCAACATAAGCTGCTTCATTTTACGAATATTTTAAGTACATCTTTGATCTAACAATCTCCCGGTATTTACCCGAGTCATATTCGGGGCAAAAACCATAGCAATATTCATTGCATTCATCTTGTTCGATTCCTCTTCTTCAACGACATCCGCCATAAGATCAACTGCCCAATTGAGCAGTCCGGCTTCCATTAGTTGCTTTACGAGTTCGACATATTTTTCTTCGTCATCGCAACTGAGAACTTTTTCCGGGGATAGTCCATCCAACACCCCAGAAGGAAGCTCCCTAAACCAGGCTTTTATAAGGCCGGCAAGGCAGTGGACATCGATGCTATCCGGCACAGCAGCTGATATCTTACAAGCTCCTCTCGGCTATTCTCAGGATTTATCCTGAAAATCCCTTCTGCCTGCAAAACAAGAACAATTAAATATTATTAAAATCACATCTAGATGTGAATACAAAGTATGAATGTAATGAAATTGTTGAAAACCTAAAGGCCTCCTTGTGAATAAAGCCGCTCCTGCATCAACAACAGTATAGTGGGGACGCTGTTTCCTTTTGGATCCAATGAGCATTGCATTGATTCCGCGGAGACCCCAAATACATTCGCACTACAAAAAAAAATAGTTTTCATTTCAATAAATGAACCGAAAAAAAGTACCTTATCATTATTTTACCAAATATAAATAGTAATTAAAAGGAACAGATTCGTAAACACTTAGAGAGTGAATTGTGAATGTTGAGTTAAGAAACTAAATATAGCTCTCTATTTATAGACTAGAGAATATCCGCACCAGAGTCCCCTTGTTCTCTTTTACTCAACAAGAAAGTGGGAAATCCAAACCATAAATACTCATTCCCAATAGTATTTTCAATACTATATGGGATTGAGCATTACCAACAATCAAATCAAAATTCACATAAATAACTATTTTTGTTTCTCGCACAAAATTAGAGTTGAGTTAACAATGCAGATGTTTTCCTCTGTCATTATTTCTTTTCGTTATAGTTACTAAAAATCAGCAAGAGATCTACCTTTTGAGAACTAAACTGCACAAAAACACTAACATTTCAACTTTAAACGACAATGAAAAATAATAATCCAGCTGAAATCTTCTTTAAACAGGAAAAAAATATGGGGAAAAGGGGCAACAATGAGAATTTACCTTGCACTTGGAACACGACCGGGTACCTCAACTTGGAATTTACCTTGCTGAAATCTTCTTTAAACAGGAAAAAATTATGGGGAAAAGACAAATATGAAATGTCTTAAAATTTAGGAATCAATTTAAAATGTGGATTATAATTTGAATATTATAAGCTAATTTTAGAGACTAATATAATTTAGAAATCTTTTGTAGAATTAAGGTGATTTATTTATTTATTAAAAATTATATCATTTATTTATGAGTCATGACCAATATATTAATAACGAGTGCACAATCTATTGAATTAATTCAACGCATGAGTATCATCACTTTAAATAAGGTGATTTATTTATTTATTAAAAATATATATGATTTATTTATTTTAAAAAGAAATATATAAAGATAAAATTACACGGATTAAACAATTTAATGATAAATTTAGAAGACTCCCATAAGATGAAGTAATAAATTTGTATCCGTACCCCTTAATTGGTTTTGTTCATAAGCTGATAAACGTATCTTAACTTTTTAAACAATGTGTACCCCATCCAACAACTATCATGATTTCCCTCTTTAAAAAGCCAATTAGCATTAAGTAATCTTTTATTAAGGGTAATCAATGGCACTACCCCTTCGTCTATCAATAAGCTTTAAAAATGAAAATCATGATTAAGGTGGCGACGGATGTGGAAAACAAAGCAGAAAATAATTTATATATATATATTTGACGTGGTATATCAAGTCATCTAGAGATTAATAAAATTTGATTCGAAAATTAAATATTTTAACTTAATTTGATATTAAGAAAAGATTTGTTTCGATCGTGAATTCATAAATTCAAAAAATTAAATTCGAGTTCAGTTATTAAATAGAATTCGAATAACATGAAATTTTTAGTAATTAGTTGATTAGTTTTCAAGTTTGAGTGGAGTCTCTCAACTCTACATGATATATATCACATATGAAAAAATATAAAAAAATATACATGTATATAATATATAGTTATATAAATTCCTTTAAACCGAAATCAAATGGTACCATAATTTTTTTAAAAAAGTTTTGAGTTATAAAATATGACTCATCAACTCGAATAACTCAATTTTTTTAACTCAACTTGATTCGACTACTCATCCTTAATGTCATAATTTTTTCACACGTAGACATACTATTTTAGCATTGTAGTTCAACTGTAGCAGTCTAGACAACAAGTTGACCATTAATTAACTAATAATTTACATCTCAATAAAAGTTATTTTTCCGAAAAAAAAAACGTTTAAAGTTAAAATACTAAAAAAAATCAAAAGAAATTTTCATATTATGCTCTTTAGTTTATAAAATGATATAAAATCTTTACCCACTTTATCTTTTGATCAGGCTTTGTTGGCCGAATAATCCAACTCAAAGCCTTTACTTTAACTTGGCGGCAGCCCATTGCAACTCTTGTATATTCCCTGTGAATAATTGATGCTTCGTAAATTTTTTAATACAAACCTTCGTGATTATATTGTCTAATATTAAAAGAATATATCCATATTTTTCAGGTTAAATGAAAGGAATTTTTATGTTGAAAAAAATGGGAAGCCAAGAACTATAAAGAATTAATTAGGGAAAAATGATAAAAGTTACAGTGAATACCAAAGTTATCGGCAACTGAAACTGATCGAATTTAGTGAAATTGTCTGCAGTTATTGGTGACTTTGTTCCATTTTTAAACAACTTTAGGATTAAATTAAAAAGGAGTTACAAGTACAATGATTAGAATGAAAAAAAATAGAAATTGGGATAAACCGTGTGTTTACTGTGATGTTTCAAATATACTTATATTGTAAAACTTTGAAAGTCGTACCTTGTGTTTGTGTGTTTAATTTGCTTTGTTCCATTTTTAAACAACTTTAGGATTAAATTAAAAAGAAGTTACAAGTACAATGATTAGAATGAAAAAAAATAGAAATTGGGATAAACCGTGTGTTTAATGTGATGTTTCAAATATAATTATATTGTAAAACTTTGAAATGTCGTACCTTTGTGTTTGTGTGTTTAATTTGAGATGATTTTTCTGATCCATATGACTTCTTCAAACCTACACGCTGACAAGAAATTAGATGCATCTTGTCACTGATTTTGTCTTGAAAAACACAATCGTGATAAAAAGAAGCATGAATAAAGATGAAAAAAAAGAATGTTCATTCTTTAAATAAGCTACAAATAAAGTCGGCTACAAAAGAAAGTTTTGAACATTTCCGTGACATGTCATCCAATTGTTCTCTCCAATTAAACTTCGATTAGCGCCATGGCTCTTAACAAATTTTTTGAACATGTCCGAGACATGTGAGGATAGTATAGCTAATCCGTTAATTGCTCAAGTTCGATCTCTTGATCTTAGGTAGCCTTCGATCCCCTTAGCATGAAGTCCCCCTCCTTGTGGTTTCCTCAAAATGAACGTAGACAGAGCTATTCGTTGAGACGGGAATGCTGGTGGGGTGGGTGGTTTGTTAAGAAATGCCGAGGGATGCAAGTTATCATATTTTTCTGAACTAATTGGCCATGATTCTCTTATTTTAGCCGAATTATCTGCCATTAAGTATGGTTTAGATACCTTTTTTTTTTCGTGGTGTGAGCACTTTAGACTAATCGTTGAGAGCGACAATAAAAATGGGATCGACTGGGTTTTAAATTCTTCAGCATCGCCGTCATTTCTGTTAAATATAGTTCGTGTATTAGTGGCAGAGGTGTTATCATTAGACATATTTCAAGATTATGTAATGTGGAAGCTGATTCTCTTGCCTTGCCAAGGCAAGGATTGGTTGATCTTGTGATATGGTATGGTGGGTCGTTTGTAAGGTTTTTTATGGTTGAGTTGCTGCAGTGGTTTTGACTTTTGAGGGCCGCTTACGCTGGGTGTTGACTGTTGAGAATGGAAATCTTTCCTGGTCTCGGGATCGAGCTTTTCAATCACATAATTGGTACTAACTGTTATTTACCCTGGAATCGAAGTATCTGGTTTTACATCAGGTGTGTGGTGCAATAATGTTGTTGGGTCCTTTATCCTCCTAACTCTTTACCTTGCAAGATTAGCTTGGTTTCACTTTGATTTGGTGACTTCCAATGGATAGCTAGGCCTGAGTACGTTTGGACAATTATAGGTATTTCCGTTTAGTTCTGCAACGTATCTTATGGGGAAAGTCTCACCAGTGACAGTCTAATATACGGTTAAGAAAATATATTATCGAAAATATTATTATTTTTTAATATTTCTGATAAAACATTATTATTACTATCGGAAATATTATTATTGGGGGTTTTACTGAGTTTGTTAATATATCGGGTAAAACATTACTTAAAACATTATTTTTTTACCGGAAATATTAATATTAGACACTTTACCAGAAATGTTAAAATCATTAATGTTTTAGGTAAAAAAAATAATTTTTTAAATAATTTTTTACTAAAAATATTAAAAAAAATATAACATTTCCGATAACATATATCCTTAACCGTATATTAAAACTGTAGTACGAAATATCTTCCCATCTTTTGGGCTTGCCGGCTTGGTTTTAGATTAATTGGCTTGTGCTAAAGTTGTAATTTGCTTGTGTCGTTTTTTAGCATCCTGTTGTACTGTCATGTCTCTACCCTTATGATTGGAAATTTTTTTAATTAAAATTTTGACATTCTCCATTAAGTCTTAACTTAGAGTCTGTTTGTTACAATTTGAATTACTAGAATTTGAATTACTGAAAAATAAATTACTGGAATTTGAATTCTGTAAAATAAATTATACATTTCTGGAAAACATCTGGAAAACGTTTTATGATGTTTGGAAGATGTTATTTAAACATTTTTTTCACTAGTTGAAGAGTTTTTTAAAAAATATTTATTACAAATATTAAATATAATAAATAATATTATTTATCATAAAACTTAATTATTATTTTAAAAATATTAAAATAATTTATTTATTATTAATATTATTTTTATAATTTTATTAATAAAAATATTAATATTGGTATATTTTAGTGAAATAAAATATTATAAATTATATTAATTATTTATTAAAGTAATAGTGTTATATTATATTTTAAAAATATTAATTAGTATATTTTAAATATCTTTACTAAAATATTATTTAAATATATAAATAATATTATTCATTATTAAATATATAAAAATTATTATATATTATTAAAATAGAAATATAATATCTTATATTATATTATTATAAATATTAATAAATATATTTTAAATATTTTAATAAATAATATTTTGATGAAAATGATATTAAAATATTTTATTAATATTAAATTCATAAAATAAAATTATTTTGGGTATTTTTGTTTTAAAGTGAAAAGTTCGGAAAATGACTTACGAAAAATGAATCTGTAACTCATTTTACAGAAAACACAAAGGAAATTATGTTACTAGGAAAATGAATTACATTCTGGAAAATGAATTACGTGAAACAAACACGGGAAAACATTTTCCGAAAAACAAATTACGTGAAACAAACAAGAGAAAACATTTTCCAAAAAACGAATTACATGAAACAAACACGAGATTTCGGGAAAAACCAATTCCGTAATTGGTTTTACGGCAAACAGACTCTTAATTGAGTTGCGAGAGAATTTTTTAATGAGACACCTTTACTTTATAAAAACATTAAATAATTTACATATTTAAATCAATTTAATCATTTTGTTATTAAAAAATTAAATCAATTAAACTTTTAAATTGAAAATAAATAAAATTAAGATTGTTGACTAATAGTTTAATTTTAATCTTTAAATCATAATAGTTTAAGGTTATTGATGTCACATGACACATCATGATGTTTTCATATAATATTTGCAGGATTGAATAATTTAATTTTAATTTTTTTAAGTAGTATTAAAAATATATATTATTTTAGAAATCATTTAAAAGTACAAAAAAATATTAATTAATTTATCTAAAAATTGTAGAAATATTAAAAATGTATTAAAAATTCTAAAATATCAAAAATTATAAAAATTATAAAAAGTTTACGTGATTATTTGACTATATTAAAAAATATTAAAATATTAAACATCATAAAAAATCTATAAATTATGATGATACACTACGATTGGAGTGTAAGTTGGATCAATTATAGATATTTTTAATCGGTTTTTATAATATTTTAAAAGTTTTAGAATAAATCTATAAAATTTTAAATAAATTTACAATATATTTTAAAATTTTAGAATAAATATGTGATATTTTAAAATTTTAATGAGAAAATAGTTAGAGTATGAGTTGAATATAATAATATATTTAAAAAGTTTCTAAATAATTTTGAAAAGGCGTTTCATGTCCTACCCATAGTAGTATTCTGTGAGGGCAAGCGATCCACCAAAAGGAAAAAGAACTTGACGAACTCAAACTCTTGCACTCCAAGAACTTATTCTCTCCCACTCCGACAGTAATTCTCCATTATAAAACCATAATCACCCAATTCCAAATTTCACATCTCGCCTCACTCAAAAGCGATTCCACCATTCTTAGACGTTGCCGTATCGCTTCCAAGATGTTGCTCAGAATCCGCAGCCGGGACGGCCTCGAACGGGTCCAAGTCGGCGGCCCTCACATATCAATCTTCCAATTGAAAACGCTTATCCAATCCCAACTCCAAGTCCCCATCCAAAACCAATTCCTTTCCACCGATCGGAATATTCTTCTTGTTAAAATCCCCGCCGACCTCCTCCGCTTCTCCGACATGGCCGACCCTTCGGCCCCGCTCTCCGCATTGAACCTCTCCCACGGCTCCGTTGTTTTTCTCTACTATCAGGGCGAACGCAACGTCCGCGGTGGACCCGCCGTTACCCCAGCCGGATCGTTCGGACGTAAGATGACAATGGACGACCTCATTGCTAAACAGACACGGATCACCCGCCAGGAATCCCCTCATTGCGACTCCGTTTCCTTTGACCGCGATTCCGCTAACGCTTTCCAACAGTACGTCAATGAAACACTGGCGTTCGCTGTGAAACGCGGCGGGTTCATGTACGGCACCGTCTCGGAAGAAGGTAGGTTAGAAGTTGATTTCATTTACGAGCCGCCTCAACAAGGATTGGATGATAATCTGATTCTATTAAGGGATCAGGAGGAGGAGAACATGGTTGATGCCATTGCGGCTGGGTTAGGGAGGAAGAGGGTGGGGTTTATTTTTACCCAGACGGTAATGCAGGTTAAGAAAGACTACAATTTTTCGAACAAGGAGGTTCTACAGGCGGCCGAGCTTCACGCCGAGAGTGCGCAGAAGAAGTGGGTGACCGTGGTGGTGAAGCTGGAAGCCAATGAAGATGGGGGTGCGGATGTACATTTTGAGGCTTTTCAAATGAGTGATATGTGCGTTAAGTTATTCAAAGAAGGATGGTTTGTGACTGAGTTCGGAGAGAATGATGACCCGAAGCTTTCGAAGATGAAGAAAGCTGTGGTGGTCGGCGGGAAGGATGTTGAGGAGGTTGATAATGATTTCTTCTTGGTGGTGGTGAAGATTTTAGACCATCAGGTGCGTAATTCTTGATTCATTATCTGATTTAATCAATACTTGTAACAAGTAATGGCTATTGTTTAGACAGTTTTTCACTAAAATTTTAGCTGTAGAATTGGTTGCTCAATTGATCATGTCAATGATGCTAATGGTTCAGCTAATGCTGGATATAATCATATAAATAGTTTAACCTGTGATATAAGGAATGTGTGGAGGGGTAGAAAAAGCCATACAAAATGTTATCAACTGGCATTTTTGGCACAGATAATTTCTGTATATGAAGTAGAAAGTATCATATACAGCTAACGGTTTTGATTTTCTGCAAATTCACTTGAGAAATTAGTCAATTGAATGCTTGGTTTGAATGCAGGGTCCTCTGTCATCAACCTTTCCCATCGAGAATCGGAACAACCTGGTGACGGTGAGGATTCTTAAGAATCATCTAGATAGGATGAAGAGTGTTCCGTTCCTGAAGAGAATTTCGGATTTCCATTTGCTACTGTTTCTAGCCTTGTCACAGGGGCTTGGTTCAGATATCCCAGCACTTGCAGAGTGTGTTAGCAAAGGAACACCGGTCTCGGAAGGTTATCAGCTCCTAATTGAGTCGATGGCCAACACAGCTTAATGTCACTTGCTACTTTATTTATGGGAAGTACTGTCTATTTATGATCCATTCATAGCAAATTACTCTATGCCATTGTTTATTAGGATCATTATCATTCTCAATTATTCCCATCAGAATCTTAACATTGTGCTCTACATTCAAATCTCATGAGTGTTGTTCAGAATTAAATGATTAAAGATTTAAAAGTCTATCAACTTTCCAAAAAGAAAGCTTTGATTATTTTACTTGGGGAAAAGAAAAAGAAAAAGTAAGGCTTTGATAATTTAATGGGATCGGGCAGGCAACAAAACGGTGCGTTGAAGTAGAACAAAGCCGGGGAATTAGTTCCTTAGAATGCCACGTGGCTCTACTATAGTATTCAAGGTCTAATCCTAATTTTAGCCCTTTTACCATGTTAAGACTTAAAACTTGATTAATTTGTGTGTAAATAATGAGTACGAGTCTTATCTATTTAACGATCTAAATATACCTTTGTTATTATTGTATTTCTACTCAATTTAATGAGATTATTATTTTTATAATTGTTAAATTTACCAAATATGTGAGCAACACTTGTAAATATGATATATACAAAAAAAAATATTACGTCATCAAGTGACCTTAGTAGTTAAATGATTAAGTATTTTGAACAGATGATTGTTATTTTTAGAAGTCTCAAATTTAAGTACAATGTTTATAGGAGTGTTTGAGCGTCCATTATCAAATAACTTTTCAAGAAAAAAATCTTTACCGCTTTTTATTGATGGTTTTCCTGTTCTTTTTATCAGAAATATTGCCACATAGTCTTAGTAAAAGCATTACCGCTTTTTATTTGGATGTGTTGAATCCAGAGAATATTCTTGAAGTGAATTAACAGTAATGCAATGCATATTGTTCTAATCGCTAAAGGGGTTAAGCAATGTATATCGTATTTAATGGGAGTTAATGGAGTTGTGAGTGAAAGATTATGATTACGGAGACCTCGTTCCTCCACTATTGGTGTGAAGAGCCTGATGGAAGGTTGGTGGGGTTTATATTGTCTTTTGTATTTTGATAAAATGATCTATTTTAGTACCAGAGGGCCATCTCATATACCTAATTCAAACTTTCCATCTTCTTTTCAATAATCACATAACGTAAGTGCTCATGTTTGAAACCCAATACAAAGACAAATCATTTTTCAATCCTTGGATGTTATGAGTAGCTCATGTCTTGTGGTCCTTGATACTCTACATGTTGGGGAAAGTGTTGGTGGACTCAAACTGTTGTTGCTTCGTCATTGTGGGATTTCTAGCATTTTCATCTCTCCATTCCCTCATCGTTTATCTGTTAATGACCAAGAGTTCATTCAGGACCTTTTTCATGCTATTGTTGCGGTGGAGTATTTGGGAAGCCCTAAATTACTCAAGGAAACGAAATCAGTTAGAAAGGGTTATTATCCTACCAATGTCTTGGGTTGATTGTTTACTACGACAAGGTTGCGTCATGAAACCCAACATAAACCTGGAACTCTGCGTCTACTTGTCGTTTTCATGTTTGCGAAAGTTTTTTCATGAATTCGGTTGGCTGCCAATATGACTTACAATTCCATGCAAGTCTTTTATTTATTTCTTTTTATAATGTATCTTTCCTTCTTACTTATACTCTATTTCTCTTGAAACTGTAGAATCAATTCATAAGTTGGACTAGATTAAAGGTTTTGACTCAAATTTTCATATATTGTCTATTATTTATATCGTCGATAAATAATAAAACCATTTATTTTTCATATATTTTTTAACTTTTCAACAATCAATGTATTAATATAATAGACATCAGCTGAACAATGTTCACAAAATTACTTTTTCACTAATAATATATCAAATAATATTTCTTATGCGTAAATACAATTTCTTCCACAAATCAATTTATGTTGCACAGAAAGAAAGAAAAAAAATGTTGATATACCGTACACCATTAAATATTTACAAATTGAAACGAGTCTTGTATGCCCTTGTATCGATTGAGTTTAATCGTATCTAACTTGATTGTATATATCCATTGTATCAGTATATGCAGTTCTGCGTTCATGAGAAACTTCTATTGAAGAGCTCCATCACCCTATTATGTTGTGTTGTTCTTATGAGAAACTTCTAATGATGACCCTGAACTTGTGACCTTATCCGAGCCATTACATTTTGTAGATCTCTCGATGTCATCGATGTGGCCGTTCAGGGATCGAGGGAACAGAAACGTCTGTTTCCAACATTTTCACAACCTGATCAATGGATGGCCTGCATCGTAACTCCGGATGAGAACAAAGAACCGCTACCAACACATATTTCTCCAGAACTTCTGGAGGCCCCAACTTCGGCATGCCAGCTTCGATAACGTCCAAAGCTTTCTCGTTCTTCACCAGCGACCACGCCCAATCAGCACTACAGAAGAGTGGTTCTCATCAGTCATAGTGAGCGCCTTTATTCCACTCAACAGTGCATGAAGTATCACACCAAAACTATACACATCGCTCCTATCAGTCAATTGGCCATACAGTGCATACTCAGGGGCAACATATCCCATTGTTCCAGCTACCCTGGTAGTCAAATGTGTCATCCCTTCCGGTGTAAACTTGGCAAGTCCGAAATCCGCGACCTTGGCCTCAAACATGTCATCCAAAAGTATATTACTCGCTTTGATATCCCTATGAATGATTGCAGGTTGCGCCCCGTAATGAAAATAAGCCACCCCCCTTGCCGTCCCTAACGCAATCTTTCTACGAATAGGCCAACTAGGTCTCACTTTTGTTGGACCGAAGAGATGATCATGCAAACTCCCGTTCTTCATTAAGCCCCAACTCCGGCATGCCAGCTTCGATAACGTCCAAAGCTTTCTCGTTCTTCACCAGCGACCACGCCCAATCAGCACTACAGAAGGGTGGTTCTCATCAGTCATAGTGAGCGCCTTTTTTCCACTCAACAGTGCAAGAAGTATCACACCAAAACTATACACATCGCTCCTATCAGTCAATTGGCCATACAGTGCATACTCAGGGGCAACATATCCCATTGTTCCAGCTACCCTGGTAGTCAAATGTGTCATCCCTTCCGGTGTAAACTTGGCAAGTCCGAAATCCGCGACCTTGGCCTCAAACATGTCATCCAAAAGTATATTACTCGCTTTGATATCCCTATGAATGATTGCAGGTTGCGCCCCGTAATGAAAATAAGCCACCCCCTTGCCGTCCCTAACGCAATCTTTCTACGAATAGGCCAACTAGGTCTCACTTTTGTTGGACCGAAGAGATGATCATGCAAACTCCCGTTCTTCATTAAATCACACACGACTATCCTCTGATGACCGTCTGATGGTGTCGTAGCAGTACAATATCCTCTTAAAGCAACAAGATTCACATGCCTAACACTAGCGATAACCTCTACTTCGTGCTTGAAATGGGCATATCCGACGGAGGAACAGTTCTTGAACCTCTTGAAGGCAACCCCAGAGCCATCAGATAAGTAGCCTTTGTACATATTCCCATAGCCTCCCCTGCCTATCATGTTATCTATAGAGAAATTCCTTGTAGCTTCCTTAATCTCATCGAAGTAAACTTAACCAAATTAGTACTTTCAAGATTCTGAATTCGATCCCTCCTTTTCTTCTTTGAATCTCGATGTTTTCTATAAAGAAATCAAGACCCAACAATGAAAACAGCTAAACCAACCCCAACCCCGACTATTACACCCCAGTTTACACCTTTTTGCTTACCATCACCATTGCTGCCATCACTTAATTGAAAATAAACATATGGCCGTACCTTCATTTGTTGGTCCGAAATGATTAGCAACAGCTGCTGCATAAATAAACGGGTACGCCGTGCAGTCGGACACGTTGGCAATCGAATTGTTCGCCCTGTACAAAGCTTTTAAAATATCTCATTTGTGATCATCCATCTAGCTCAGTTGGTAGAGCGTAAGGCTCTTAACCTTGTGGTCGTAGGATCTAGTCTCACTGAGTACAATTCATAACGGAGGTCTTCCACGGAAACTGCTCTCAACCTGGTATTGGGGCAGCCTACTACTCTACCTCCCCTTACCCCATTACATATAGGAATAGGGTTACCTAATCATTTGTGATGACCCAATTTCATCTTTATCCTTACATCGGTCAGACTCAAATTAGAAGGGATGAACTTCATTTCTTTTATTTTGATCTTAGATGATATTAGTATAGAAAATATCGCTTGAAAGACCTTTACGTAAGTAAAAATTTCTTCTATAAAACGCATATTTTGAAAAACACTTCCCATATTTTTTTATTAAAAAATATATATCATTTTGATAAATAATATTGTTTGGATATTACTATAATAAAAAAGTTATTTTGATATTATTCTCATAAATTAGCCAAAATTTTATTTCATTCTTTTATTATTAAAATTATTTATTTCAGTTGTTTATATGTATTCGGGTTTGTTGGAGTTTAATTCTTCTTATAACGATCAAGTTAATTTAAGATTTTCCGGTTGCAGTTATATAATTTTCAAAGTTAGGTGTGATTTATGTTGATATGATGTAAAATATTTGATTATTTTTAATTTAAAATATAACGAAAGTTTTGATTACATATTATAGGCTGAATGCGACCAAATAAACAAAAAAGCATAGGTTTAAAATTTAATTTTAACAGTAGAATTATATTTGGTATTTAATTATTAATTTCTTTAAATAAGTTAATTGTATTTTTAAAAGGTATACTATGTGGTTCTATCCAATGGAGTTTATAGATTTTTTTTAAAAGTATTGAAATTCTAAAATAATATTAAAAAAATATAAAACAAATTAATAAATGTACGAAAATATCACTTGACAATCGTAAGGCATACGATATCAACTAATCTATAAAATTATTAAATTTAATGACTAACGTTGATTAAATAGATGAATTGATAAAAGTTCAATACACATATGATTCAATCGGATAAAAAAATTAAATATTTATTTTATTTTTTCAATAATTTATGGCTTTGGACAACCTTAAACTAATCTTTAAGTGCTTACCTTTAAATTTATTAAACTTCAAAAATTAAAAGAACATACAATATATAAGAGATGTTTTATCCCTAATCTCACAATCATTCGAACAAAATAGTTGGGGGTAATAATTGAAACTAATGTGACTATAAGCACAAACAAATAATTTAAGCCAAGCCTATGTCGTTATTATTAGATCTAAGTTTATTTTTTAATATCCCATCAAACAATTGATTAATCCTTATAAAATATAAGGAAATCCAAAGCATAAGATGCTTAATCTTATTCGTTAAATACAACACATGGTGGCATCACCTTGAAAACGCCACGCTACGAAAATTCCATTGGAGCCGATTTTTGTAGTTGAAAGTTGTTCATCTTTCATCAATCACCAAAAAGTGTATACTTGTCCTCTTTTCATCTATTAAAATTAGGTTATCTTTATCCCAATGACGAATCTAATGATTCTTCATTATAGCGTTTGATTAATAGTAGTAGTCAAAGACAGATGTAGATGAAATCGAACTTATAAAATTTTAAGGAAAAAAAAATAAATTCTTAATAAAATATATAAATAAGATATCTAAAATATATAATAATTTTAAATTTTCGGAGGAGTAATTACTCCACACTCTCCATCATCCACCCATCCCTAATAGTAAGGACTTGAAGCATGTTTTAGTAAAAACATATTTTAACATTTGATTATCGATAACAAGAGTAACAATTATAATTAAAAAATATTAAATAGTATAATTAATTTATTTTCGATTAGAGCAATAACTATAATCCTAACCAATCATTACGATTACATAATTTCAATACAACATAATAATTAAATTATCTCAAATTAAAAGTAAAAACAAAGTGATCTAAACCCTAAATGAGTATCGATACTGTTGAGTTAATCGATCGACGAATATGGTCAAGAGGGGGGTGAATTGACAATTAAAATTTTGGTGGAAGCTTTTGTAGAAAATTGAAAATATTTGCACAGCGATTTAGAGTGGTTCGACTTTTTCAACCAAAGTCTACATCCACTACATTAGCTATCAACACTAAGGATTTTCCACAAATTCGCTAATTTGTCTTTCTTTTAAGGACAAAGAGTAATCTTACAATCCCTCAAGAATTATACCCAAATTCTTGATAACACTCTCTCCCAAAGAGAACAATACAAATTTTGTAAACTTACAAGAAATCCTCGCATGGCAAAATTGAAAATATTTGCACAGCGATTTAGAGTGGTTCGACTTTTTCAACCAAAGTCTACATCCACTACATTAGCTATCAACACTAAGGATTTTCCACAAATTCGCTAATTTGTCTTTCTTTTAAGGACAAAGAGTAATCTTACAAATCCCTCAAGAATTATACCCCAAATTCTTGATAACACTCTCTCCCAAAGAGAACAATACAAATTTTGTAAACTTACAAGAAAATCCTCGCATGGCAAGATGTTTGCACAATTCTAGAACAAAGAAAGAATACTCAAGAATAATACAATTGGGCACAATAAGTGTTCTTGAAAGCAAAAATGAATATTGAGTAAAATAGGCTTGAAAATGCTCAAACTTGATGTTTGATGATTTCTCTTTGATTCTCTCTTGATTCTTGTTGATTCTCTTGTTTCTTGTTGTTGATCAATGGCTTCTAAGCTTGTTTAAATACTCCTTCAATTGATTTTGAACGTTGAGGATGATTAGTGGAGTCAATGGAGTCGTTTAAGTGTGAAAACAATTAATAAAATTGTTTGGAGCGTGGGGGGAATCGGTACCCCCTCATAGGGAATCGATTCCCTTAGTGTAAAATTCAAATATTTTGACTGTTGAACAAGAGGGAATCGGTTCCCTCCGAGCATTCTGTTATTTCTCGAAGCCAAACCATTCAGGGGGGAATCGGTTCCCTATGAACAATATGGAATTTTGGCTTATTTTTTGTTCGAAATACTTTGTAAAATTGTTTTGAGAATATTTTAAGATTGATACTTAATTTTTCACTTTGGTAAGGTTTAAAAATGATCTTTGAAAGACTCGGAGTAATATTTTGATATTCAAATAAATTATATCGAATATTCTTATAAAATCTTTTGTAAAATCTTAAAATTCATTTTAACTTAATTTGTTATATCGAAACATCAAAATATTTTCAACAGATGCTATCATCGAGAATAAAAAATGTAGCTAAACAGTATCGAAACCAAAGAAAGGTATTGACACTAAAATGAGTTTCGAAGTGTCAATAAATATTGAGTATTGATACTCAAAGGGAGGTAACAATATCAAATAATTTTGATTAATTAATATGTACATATCAATACTATTTGAAGATTCGATGTAATTAATTTAATGTGGATATCGATACATTTATCTCATACCAGTACTACATGAACGCAATATCAAATATCATATGAATTGTATTGACACGGACCGCCTTAAATGTCTCAAATGTACAAATAATATTTGAATTTGTTGATGTTTATGTTTTGATCCTCAATTAGACTGACATTGTATGTTGTTGTTTTCGGTGACCCAAATAAGGTTGTGCTTGTAATTTAGTCCTTAAAATCATAATTAAATTAATTACTTATCTAATAATCAAATTAAGGTTAATAAGTGATCGATATTGTATCCGATCACTCAATATAACATCATTGATCTGATTTTTGACCAAATCAGAATGAGGGTATTACAACCTCGAACGGAATTCTTAAAGTTGCTTGAGAATATCATGGTCTTTGGGATTTGCTACCATTTTTATTGACTACAAAATTTTCAGAAAGAGATCATTAATTGTTTGAACCATACAAAGATGATGTTGAGTAACATTACGTAGACTTTAACTCGACACCCTACTTACGCTCCAAACATGGGCGGAAGTAGGCTTGGGCCTACCTAGGTCCCGACCCGACCCAAACTAAAAATATTATATTTTATAAACTTTGTGAAAGAGGAACCTTCAAAGCATTTTATCTGCTTACGAGTATTTCAAAGAAATAATGTAAAAAGCCATCAGTATCGAACAACGATTTAAAAAAAAAAAAAAACTCGTTAGAGAAAATATTCACCATACGATCAAGGTACACATCGCAACTCTTCTTTCAAGTTCTCTACTTAGTTCAACGCCGTTGGTTGACTCAAGGCGGTGGTCCAATATCATGGCCCTAAAATCAGGCTGCGAAACGCAGCTTGTTCAATGGATTACAAAGCCACGACAACGACTCTTTCTTGCTTTCATTTTCAAAGTCTTTCGATACTGTTGTTCAATCCAAACCTAAACCCACGATTGTTAACATTCAAAATTAATTGCTCAATCAGGTGACTTCATAACAAATAAACTTTTTATAAAAGCTCGCAACCCAGAAATTAGCATCTTTTTCTTCTTCTTCTTCCTCTTCCATTTTTTCTCGACAAACAAACAAGCCCTTCTTAAATCTCAAAACTTTCCCAGGGAAAAAAGGCCCGGAGTTAGTGACTCCAATGGACAGGTTAGTGAAAGCAGATGTGAAAGAAGTCGAATTAGTGTTCATTAAAGGCCAAAAGAGCTCCATAACTTTCACTTTAACAAATCTTATGCACACCATGTCTGTTGCCGTTTCTTTATACACGAAAAAGCCATCTTTCTTCTCTTTCAACAAGCCTTTCTCCATAATCCCTCCCCTTTCATCTTCATCCTACACTCTCCTCTCCCAGCCGTCTGATCAACCTCCTTTGACCAACCCTCCCGATGCCATCACCGTCAAAACCACCATGGTTCCTTTGGGGAAAGTCAATCACGACGATACCCGCCGCCGATTCTCCAAGCCCGGACCCCACATATTCAAGGACGCTACTTTGCCGATTTCCTTTCTGGGTCCCCAAGTGATCGAACATCTCATTTCCAGCAATACCCAAATTTCAGATACGGATTTCTTCTTCAACAAAGCAATCTCCGGGTGTTCCGGGAATCAACTCACGGTGTTACTCCAATCCGCTGCCGTTTCAGGGAAAGCCGATCTGGTCCGTACGTTAATCGATCACGGTGGAGATGTAAATCATAAGGAATCTAATGGAAGGTCCTTGATCTCCTTAGCTGTTGAAGCTGGGAATCTTGATGTTTTCAATGTGTTGATTTCCTCTGGTTGTGAAATCGATAACTCAGTTGACCATGTTTTTCACTACGCAGCGGCCATAAACAGAGTAGATTTGATGGATGCTTTGTTTCGAGCTTATAAGAACACGGATTCGATCGATTCGGTTGACTTTAACGGTAGAACCCCAATTCACATATCTGCAATCCACGGATGCACCCAAGTGATTCGGTTTTGTTTATCAGTAGGTGCCAGCCCTGAAGCTTTGGACGTCGATAAATGCACCCCACTTCATTTAGCTGCCAAGGGAGGCCATTTAGACACCGTGGAATGTTTGTTAGAGGCATCAAATTACTCCAAATACGCATTAAACAAACAAGGGAAGACCGCTTTCATGCTCGCCATCGAAAACGACCGCTCGAATGTGTACGGTTCATTGCATTTAGACGATGCTTTGAGCCGTGCGGCGAGGATCGGGGACGTGAATGGTATAAAGAGTTGCATAGACGAAGGGGCGAACGTGAATGGGAAGGACCAAAATGGGTGGACGCCTTTACATAGGGCGGCATTCAAAGGTAAAATGGAGGGTGTTCGGGCTTTGCTCGGATACGGTGGCGAGGTTAACGTTTTCGATAAAAACGGGTATACGCCGTTGCATTGCGCGGTGGAGGCAGGACATGTCGAGGTTACTTTGTTGTTGATCGGTCATGGAGCGAAAGCTAATTTGAAGTGTCAAAGGTACGGGTACGGGGGTTGGTTTGAAATCTGATTGTTCTAAGAATCATTTTTGCTATCGTAGTTGTATTGTTCAGCCTTTGTGTAATGACGAGAAGGAACGAGCTTGATTAGGGATGGGACCCGAATCCGATCCGACCGGATCAGGTTAGTTTTTTTAAATAGGTTTCAAGTCGAGTCAGATTTGAATTTAGGGTAAAAAAATTCGATCCGAACTAAAAAAATATAATTTTACCTTTTATATATATAAATAATTACAATAATGTCTCTTTATATTTTTTAACTAAATCAATGTTTTTATTGAAAAATAATAATATTTTATTATTAGTTCGGATCGGGTCGAATCAGATTCGGATTTTATCTTAAAAAATTAGGTCGGATTCGGGTTGTATGGAGGGTATATATTTTTTGAGTCAAGCTAAATTGAATGAATGATGTAAAATTTTTGGCTCGGATCGATTGACCCAAATCCGGCTCAAACCCGACCCATGCCCATCCCTAGGCTTATCAATGAATTTGCCTTTTTTTTTTTACTAGTTGTGAAAATGTGGAGAGTCAGTAAAGTTGTATGATATGTGATTAGCCGATGGCGTTACTTGCTTCAAGTGAATTAAAGCTGTTTATACAAAAATGAGGAAACCCAAGAATTTTATAGCTGATGAGGCCCAAAACAGTAGTAAAAGATAGCTACGAGCAAGTTGGTCCAAAGCAAGTACTTTTAGCTCCAACATTTATTTCAGGTTTGGACTGATATGCATGCAATCCTATAAATATTAGGGGTAAATACGTTCCACTTTCTATCTAAATTTACTTGTATATAAAATTATAATATATATTTTTTTTCTCGTTGAAGAGAGTGGGTACCCTAGGTACAATTTATCCTGGTGTTTCCACCTGTCTCATATAATCAGCCTCTTGAGGCATCTGCTCAAATACGTGTAAACCTGTGGGGAGCTTCCATGCATACTTAGCTAGGTTATCGGCTTCCTTTTTCTTCTCCCTTGGCGTGTACTCAATTCTACTGTCCACTCGGCCTTTAGCAGATCCCAATGTGTATGGTATATTTATAATTTTATTTTTAAGAGAAGATATTTAATGAGTATAGTATTGATGGAGGTATAAAAAAAATCAAATAACTTATCAAAACAATGAATTTGTAAAAAAATTACAGTAACACATAAGTTTGAATAAAATGTTAAGTTGAGAAATTGAATTGCATAAAAAATAAATTTATTGTTAAAATTATAAATTAAAATTACATATATATTTTATAGTGGTAAATAAATATATGATTCAAATTTAATTAACATGAATTGAAAATAGAAAAAGAAATAAAAATAAATATTCGATCAAGTATTTTTTTTGAAGGATCTATAAAGTAAAACTAAATTCAAATTAAAAGATTTGAAGTTAATTCAACCAAAATTTTCACTTCCCGCTTATTTTTAAGATATTGTTATCCCCCAGCTTCAAAAATCGCACAAAAAAACATACCTTCCCACGTTAGCGATCCAATTGAAATCGGCGCCAACAAAACTCCACTTTGGTGATCCGCGTGAAATCAAATCAACCAATTAGAATGCGGTATCTGCTCTCTATATAAGCCCTAAGCCCCACAGTGAAATCCCGCCATCTCCCTACGAACTATCAGAGTATCCATCTCTCTCGCCCAAGTTTCTCTTCGAAAAAGATACTACTAAAATCTGCAATCATGAGCTCTGCAGCCACATCAACCAAGGGAGGCAGGGGCAAGGTAACTTCCAAAGCCGTTTCTAGGTCCAGTAAAGCTGGTCTCCAGTTCCCCGTCGGCCGCATCGCTCGTTTCCTCAAGAAAGGACGCTACGCCGAGCGCGTTGGATCTGGCTCCCCCGTTTACCTTTCCGCTGTTCTCGAATATCTCACCGCTGAGGTTGGTGAAATGGAAATTTCTTAATAATTTCAGTGAAATTTCTATAATTTTACACGAGGGCTTTAATTGATTGTCTAACTTTGCAGGTTTTGGAATTGGCTGGAAATGCTGCGAGAGATAACAAGAAGAACAGAATTATTCCAAGGCATATTCAATTGGCAGTGAGGAATGATGAAGAACTGAGCAGGCTGATGGGAGGTGTGACGATTGCAAATGGAGGGGTTTTGCCTAATATCAACCAGACTCTACTGCCAAAGAAGGTCGGGAAAGGAAAGGGCGAGATCGGTTCTATTTCTCAGGAATTTTAGGGATTTTTTTAAGCTGCGCAGATAGCATGTATTGGAACTTGAGTTTTTCACTTGCTAATGTATTTCAGAGTAGAGAAAATTTAGAATTGAATTTTGTTCTAAATATTGTGTGCAGTTTTTTTCAAGAAACGCTCATCCGTACAAGCAATGGTTTAATATATTTGTGTTATTCGGTTACGTTAAATTTCGTACCGATTTATATGTAACGAAGTCTTTATGGCTTGTTTCCTTTTCTTCAAGAACAATACAAATAAATCCCAAACCAGATATGAAATCCCATACTTAATAGTTCTATTTATGCCAATGATTTGTTTTCCATATGCTTTTCAATGGAGAATTGTCACTTATCTTCACAACTTTCTGTTTCAGTTTTGTTTGCTGCCCTCGCTTTCTGCTGCCATTTTCTTCAGCATGGTCGTTTTCTTTTACTATATCAACTTTCACTATATGGTGATCCGATGTCCCTTTCGATGACAACACCGAATATGAGCCAGGGACGAATTTATATGGTGAATCTGGGGATGCCAGTATGTAATCAACCCGAGTCCCATACTTACATGTCCCCTGCACACCTGCAGCATACAAAAATAAAAATTGAGTGATGATTTTAATCAAACAATTGAGTGCAAAGTTGAAAGGGAGTAAGTTAATCTATTTACTTTGTCCTTTGGCAATCACGACGACCGGCTCGCATTCCCCTGCAAAGTCCTTGGCATCAGTGTACTGTTTATTCTTCAGATACTTCATAACTTCAACCTTTGGTGTTGGTTTCCCCATTTCTTCGTAGTACTGTTGAAATACAAGATTCATTTACAGAAATGTTTTAACTTTAAAAATTGGGTAATAAAGATGAGGTTGAGGGAAATGCCCCACCCTCCATGGCCATGGATGTTACCTTAACAATATCTGTCCACCTCTCTGTGGAATAATCTGTTCCCTCCAAGGAATTGAGGTCTCCAGCTAAGATGTGTGGACCATCATTGGATTGAATTATTGCATTTATCTGCTTCATGCGCCAGTTCTCATCCAGATGGTCAAGGTGTGTGCAGTGGAAGTCGATTTCGCCTGTCTGGGGCACATCAATGGTTGCTAGCACATTCCTGTCGTCAATTATCAAACTGGAAAATTAGACACGCAACTCGTATTCACAGCAACCGAATAATCTTTACAATGCTGTTTTTTCAATAAATTTATGGACTTTCATGAACTCATCTCAGTGCAGACATAGTGAGGTATACGTCTTACGTAACTTTAATTGATATATAATTTGAAATTCATGATTTCGGTTTCCACTGAAACAAGCAAAAGCTAAAGTTGGAAATGTTTTGTAGCACTTTATCTTTCCCACTTTCGAGTAATGCTAACAATTATCAATCACTATTTGATCTTTCTCATAATTCTATAATTTTTCCACAAGGAAAAAGAAAAAAACAGCTTCAAAGTATGTGTTCGGTCAAATGCATTTTTCTTCACTAACTTCACCCACAAAGACTTAAATATCTGAACATTGCATAAATCGCTTGTAGTTATGTTGTTTCGATTCTTTATTCCCCCCCCCCCCATAATATCCGTGTCTAAAACACTATACGGAACTAAAAAAAAGGATCATACATTTAAAAGAATATTGAAGGAAGATTTAGTATTCCCTAAAAGTTTCAATCATTCAATGTTTAAAAGAATAAAAGGTAACAATTTTGGGAAAGAAACAATGAGGTAATTTTCTTATAATTTTGCAACCTTTTCTTTTGGGTGCATTAGGGAAATTATCGATATATATATATATATATATATATATATATATTATGCATGATGGGAAGATCAGAAAACTTAGATTAATCAATTACACATTCAAGAAATGGGTGCAAGTTCTTATGCTGTCAGCCGCGTACAGCTGTTATGACAGATAATCACGATGAAGACGATAAAGTTAATGGAAATTTGAACTTAAAATTGTTGAACGGGCAGAGTTCAAGGAACCATGGATAAACTAAAATTTGTGGGCCTTTTGGCAATAAATGATTTAAAATGTCAAACATGGATATACTCGAATTGGACTTATGTTTGAATAAGTGTATGAACAACATTAACACTATGGTTAATAAAATGTTAAAGACTAACCTGAAATCTGTGTCATCAAAGATCTTTTGCACTTTCCACCGCTTAATCGGCCACTTCGAAAGCACGGCGTTGCCGTACTCCGGCGCCCAACTCTCGGCAAACACATAGTTCATCCCCAAAGCAGCGGCTAAATCAGACAAGGGCTTCATTGCTTTCTCTTCCTCTGCTTTCACATCTTGCAGAGCTAATTTATCAGCATCCAAATCTTTCAACACTTCAAACACTGTTTTTCTACTTCTATAACTCCCACAATCATCAACCCAATTCCCCATATTCGCTGAAAAACTCATCGTTGATCTAAGCCGAGTTCTTCCCATACTCGAACAACCCTCCTTTTTATGCTCCGAAAAGCTCAATTGTCGACTACGCAATAACGAAATCTCGTTATCCGGTAAATTGATCAACACCCTTGGCTTCGATTTCATGAATTTTTGTTGCTTCGAGAGGTTCTCCTTTTCGTTCATGGAATTCGGGTGCAAGGGAGATTGCTTTAATATACTCTTCGGCCGATCAGACCTTGTAAGACCTTCGTTTTCATAGTCGAAACTCGAAGACTTGCTTGCTCTAGGCATTGCAGGGGCCATAGAAAACATGGCCGCATTGAAAGTCGCTACACGAATAGGCTTCACCGACTTCAGACTGCTCAATTCGCCGTCTTGGTGAACTTTTGAAGAACCGTTGACGATAGCATCATCTATATTATCACGATGACGGTCGGTTTTTGGTTTACTGTACACTTTTATGACGATTTTGGACTTTGAACGGCACCGGACCGGCCATCGGAGGTGAGTAAAGAGGCGTTTGATTCTTTTGTTAACGACTTTGAGCATAGTGGAGAAATGGGCGTTGTACAAAATAGGATCCAAAGCTCCTGCTGATTGCATGAGAAATTTAAAGGGGAAAAAGTTGCAGATGCAGAGCTACTTTTTAGATTTAGAACTCTGTTTGGAGGTGGAAGGGAGGTTGAATCAATTAAGTTTCCAAAGACTAAATTTTGAAGTAGTTTATTGGATCAAAGGGTTATCAAAATGCAATCTTTTTTCAGAAAAGGAGAATGAAAATTTTGTGGGGAATAAAGATAATGGAAGGTGCTAACAACTCCAAATAACATGTAATTAATTATTGATATATTCAAAGCCTTTTAAGTGATATTCTTATCCTGCCTACAAAATCCCATGCAGTTCTTCTATTGAAATGATAGATCAATTATCTTTAAAAATTTTATTAAATTTATATTTTCTAATGAAAAATCTTTGAACTAATAGATGAATTAAAAGTGATTAAAAAGGCATATTAAGAATGATTTGACAAAATATCCACCCTCCATCTGCTCTTTGATCTATCTCATTCCGCAATAAAGAAAAGGTGAATCTGAAGTTTCCATTTTTGAGGTCTAAACTGCAGCTTGAGAAGATAAAATGAAAACAAAGTATGCAAACCATACATATCTTTATTCACCTTTTCTTCTCAAGCTGAACTAGTATTAAGATGAACTTGTATAAACCAGCTAAACTAGCTATCACATCCACCTTTGCAAGTTTCTTTATATATATATATATAATGTCAAAAAAAATTAAAAAGAACTTCGAGTGTTAAGATGATGCCCCTAAACAACTTCGATGACTAAATTATGTGAAAATACTATAAAAATTGTAACACACTCAGACCGATACGGGTGATCCGATCCGAGGTGTCACATTAAGGCCACCAGAGCGACCCACACTGAAAAATCCGTAAAATTTTAAATTTTTTGTTAAACCATTTAAAACCATCAAACAATTTATAAATAAAAATACAAGTTCAGAAAATAATCTATAATTAGAACATAATTTAATAGTGCACTACTTAAAAACAAATTTCAAACTCTAATATAATAGCATTTAATAACTTATATGTCCCCTATTTACATGCGTCGTACTCCGCAAGCAGCGCCAGTGAAACTCCTATACTAATGTCGATAAAAGTATCGTATCAAATCCTTTAACTTGAAAAGGGGTAAGTAATAGAATGAGTTTTGGGAATCACAGTAATACAAAACTATTAGATGAATGTAATAGGTCATTATATATATATGATAAATCATAAATTTCCTTAGCGGTACAAACATCATCAGATTTTAGCGGTGAGTTCATATTCCATTAGCTAAGCCTTCAGCTACAAACAAGAATTTACGGTCTGAAGGAAGTATTCAGAGAGACAGATTCAGAATATTGAATTGGGGAGTCTAATGTGTTCCAACAAAACAGATAAATGTGTAAAGATACTTTAAAAACAATGGTAGTTTAAAAACATATTTTAAAACCATAATAATACCCTCCAACCGAACATCGATATACAATTCCCCAGAACTGCATCCATAAGGACTTACCCTATGCCTATTGGGCATAGGAGCCAACCTAAGGGATTATCTTGTGGCCTCAGAGCCTACCTAAGTGTCACCTAAGGTTCGTAAGGATTTGCCAGCTTGATCAGAGCTGAAACTCCATACTCCAGAATTCTACCCAGACAATATCCCAATAAACCATGCATAATTATATTTTCCAGTGAAAACATGTAACCTGAGAACACATATCATGTAGACATATTTCATAAACAGTAAATTAATACATTAGTAAGTTAGAATATCGAACAGTTAAAATATTTAGTAAATTAGTAGCTTTGGTAGATCACATTTAAGAACAGATAAAACAATCATATAACACACCAGATGATCTAGTTATTTTCCAGAGGTACTTGGTATTTATCAGGTAGGGAGCCACGAAATTTCTGCAAACTAATTGAATTTGAGAAACAAGATCCTTATAAAAAAGGGGTTTTGATAGATAACAGATTCATTAGTCATTATGAAATGATTTATCAAGATCATATAGTATTCATATATATTGGCAAGGTATTTTGGAATTGTTACATCAAAATTATTTAGGATTAAGACATTCCTAAAGTGATTCCATCAATCTAGCTTATAAGGGCATT